GCCTTTCAGACAGCAACAACCTACTGTATTACTGCACATTTACTTACACACTACTGTATTACTATAACATCTAACCTCCGCCTATTTAAAAGCTGAAATACCTTAACTTTCCAACACTGGGATTCTGGAAACCTAACATAGGCATTCAAGTCTCTTTATACAAAAGGCATGGTCATTCCCCAGAGGATCTTAACTCCTGCTTTCCTAGAGCTCAGGCTACAGAATAGCCCAGCAGAGACAGCACTTACCCCAGACTCAAAGAACTCAAGCTCAGCATCACCAAGAAGGTTCAAACACACACCCCCTCAGTCCCTGGAATAGAGTTCTTATCACTTTCTTTCTGAATTAATGCTATAACCAGCAGGCTAAGTCATATCCTTATGACTTTGCCTGCTGCGTGTCATGAGTGCACAGAGATCTCGGTACACACAAGGTGAGTTCCAAGCTGGCCTTCTAGGTGAACCTCTGACAACTGCTGGACCCTGCTCAAGCTTGGAGAGGAACCAGAGGCTGAAATGCGCAAGCTGCAGGTTCATCAACTGGTCTTTCACACTGCCCTTTGATGGTGCAGCTTCCCATTGGTCCCACCAACTTCTCCACCTCCAGTCTTTCCTTCCCTCTCCCTCCCGTGTGTGCCAAGGGTGTTCAGTCACTTGGATTAGGTAGACAATAATGCTGGAAAGTTAACACTGCAACAGTAGCTAACCCAGTAAATATACATATATGTATGCACTTATAAAAGAAATCTTTTCTGCCAGCTTAGTGAGCTAAACTAACTCACTGGGGGGTGATCACCAAAGAGAGTACAAAGGAAGAAGCAGACAGCTAGAGAGGGTGAAAAGAGCTTAGTTATGCTGCAGCAAACTGCTCATCAGACCAGCTGTCCTGTGCACTGCACTCTCAGATCATCTTGACTGAGCAAGAGACCATAACACAGCTGGTGGCAAATGATGCTTCACAATTTACCTTCTAATCAACTGCTCGTTCCCACCTCTTGCACCAGCTTGCTACAGGGTAAGCTGGATCAGAAAATGACATGAGGGCTGAGGAAGAGAAGAGATGCATGCCTCTCCATGCATTTTTTTTTCTTATGTGTATCAGTTTCCAGGCGGAATTCACCATGCCAATTGCGCAGATAGCTCTGCTGGTGCAACAGAAGGTAAAAAAAAAACAAAGAAACAGCCATGGCACCTAAATTGGCAAAATGGACAAGACACAACCATGGAACTAGAAGTTTAGGCTAGAGCACCATTAGACTCATCCTGAAAGAAAACAACACAACCTTAGAGAATATTTTTCCTCATATTGCAATACCATCAAAAGTTGCTTAAGGAGAGACCTCCACAATCAGGTGGCATTTATGATTTTTAATTATAGCTTTGGGTTTAAATAAGCTGCTTTTGCTTACGTGTTTTATTTAGGACTAATTCATGGCTCTCAGCCAGCCATGTACTGTGGTGTATCACTTTAGGAAATAAAATCAAACAAGAAAAGTCATTATTATCTATGTTTCACTCCTGCAGAAATCGTAACATCAGGCTGAAGGCCTGAATCAGAGCTGAGAATAAAACATGTCTTTCACAGCCTGAACTGAGACTCTGCGGGACAGGCACCCTGCCTCCTGCAAACAGCCAGATTGTGCATTTCCTAGGCAAAACATTACCTCAGCTTCAGCTGCTAAAAATAAATAGGGTCATAAACTTTAACAGCCATCCCTGAAGTACTGATTTTTTTTTTGCTTCAAACTCCATGTAGGAAGCTGTCTTTCACTACTAATGCCTCAGCTGAAGTTACTAGGTGAGAATCAGAATGAATGGTGAGAGGGAAGAGAAATGCCCATTCTGTGTTCCTATTTCAGTTATACACACAACACAGTTAAGTGTTAAGTAAGTATTAATTTTACTGATTAATTTCAGGTATCTAATGGATAGACTAAAAAAAAAAAAAAGAAAAAAAATAAAAATGGAAGAGGGCCAACGTTAAAGTCAGTAAGCCCCAAACTTCACAAACAGCAGGGAAAGAATCAAAGGGAGTCAAAGTCCAAAACAAAACAGGCTGAAAGTTTTATATTTACTTAAAAGCAAATATTTCATCACTTTTCCAAAATCAAACAGAGCAGAAAAAAAAATGTAGGTATAAAAGCCACATGCTTTTTAAAATACTTTTAAAGTGCAGTACATTTAAAACGTTACACATCAGGCTCCCCAGAAGTAAATCTGAGAAGGAGACAGGCAGTTAAAATATATATATACGAAGAAGCTGTTTGCAACTGTATCTTCACAGACTCCTTCAAAGCCACAGGTGCGGGTCAGAGCAGGACCCGGGCTAACCCACAGTCGCCAGGGGTTTCCGACGAGGCCCGCTCCCAGAGACCGCCAGGACGGCGCCACCCGGTCGGCCGCCATTTTACCGCGCGGGTAGCAGGCGCACATGGCCCCGCAGCCGCCTCGCCCCTCTTGCTCCGCCGCCAAGCCTGGCGGGAAGGGGGAACTTGGCTGCGGGCAGCGATACCGGCACCGAGCGGCCCATGGAGCCCGCCCTTCTCCAGAGCGAAAGAAAAACTTACTTTCTTTGAGGGGGATTTTAAGGAGCGGGAGGGCATCCTCCGCCGTGCCGCCAATGAAAACTACAGTACCCAGGGCACACCGCGACATGGCAGCGGGTCGGGCCGGGGGCGTGGGCCTGCAAGCGGGACGGGAAGGAAGGAGGGGGGAAGGGAGGGGGGAAGGAAGGAAGGAAGGAAAGAAGGGAGTGCGGGTATGTCCCAAGTTTGGAGACTCACTAATTGGCTTTTAATGTAAATTGTTGAAGTCTAGAAATATCTTCCGCTGGGGGTGGCTGCTGCCTGGGGAACGTGCTGAGCCAGGAATGTACTAGAGCCGGCCAAAACCCCATCTCAGTGTGTAGGTTATTGGTTTATTCCTTTTGAGGGTAGCTCTCTGCAAGCTATACGTGATGGTTTATGAAGTTGGCTGGACTTGCCTGTGCAAAGATTCATTTTGTTTCCATGTCCTCACAGAGAGAATTCTCCTACTGCGTAGGAGCAATTCCTTAGTTTGTACCACATTTTACTGTCTACTTTATGAACCCAGAGAATATTGGACAATACTTAGTCCAGTTTAGCATTACAATTTTTGCAACAATACTGTTAATAAAACCAGATTTGATCCATAGTTTTCTCCCCCCCCCCCCCCCCGCTATAATGTGAAAATCTCACTGTTCTGTGTAAATTAGCTTATGAAATGAAGAATCAGTAAATCTTGTTTGCATATTTAATCACACCTTTGATTCATGCTTTTAACAGGGAATGGCCACATGAATGAATGCTCTAAGTAGCACTGATGATAGCAGCAGAACTGCTATTAGTAAAGTTCTATAATTGTTATGTCTACCAATCAAACACTAAATGCACCCCAAGCAATCACTGGTCTTGACAAGATGAAAGTAAAATATTAATCTGAAAACTATGCAACACCTAACTGAATAAAAGTGATTAACTCAAGGGGGTTTTATACAGCCAACAGAGATGGGAATTGGATAGCAACAACAGTTTTTCTTGTGAAGGACTGTGGATCCTCATTTGTATGAGAGGTGACTTTTGTATTTATCACTCTGTGTCCATTTTTAAGGAGCCAGAGGAAAACACGCAGCATGTGCTAAAATCCTTCTCTGGCTTTTTTTTTTCTTTTTTTTTGTACCTTCCATCATGATTTGCCTTGTGTAGATGCAGGCCTACACTGGTCATGGTATCAGTGTAGTAAAGTTACTGTGAATTAATTAACTGCAGATGAAAATGGTCCATTTCTAGATGGCAGGGAGGTTTGTGCTGTGGGCTCCCAGTGGCCCACATCAGAGGTGTGTTCTGCAACTGGAACAGTTTTTCTGTCTGAAGCCCCTAACACAGGCTAAGTTACATTGGTCAAACCTGCTGTTCCTTTGAGTACAGTTTTGGGGCTTCTTATTTGGAAGGGGTGAATTACCATCCCATCCTGCCTTTGCAGCTTTGCATTAGGTCAAGGCCTACATAGAATATCACTAGTTGGTTCTAGGTAAAAGCATGCCTGGTTTAGACAAGGCCACTTGCATCAGGGGAATCTTAAGTATGTCTGAAACTGTTCAAGTGAAACATTTTCAGTCTTTAGCTCACTGAATAACAGAGATTATGTACAGTACTCTACTAGAAAGATCTAAAAGTTTTTAATGTTGGCCTGGCACGCAAGATACAGGTTATTTGTGAAAGGGCAACTTAAATGGAGCTGCTTTCTATTTTAAATGTAATAAATTATCTGTGACATAGACGTAAGCAAATTGATCCAAGTATGAGATCCATTATTTTTCCAAAGTTAGTATTAACGCAGACCACCTCCCAGCAACATGCAGTAAAGAACAACACTGCTTTTAAAGGGGCTTGGAAGGGTCTTTAAGACACGTTGAATTCAAGACTGGCAGTGCAAGTGAAGACTCCAGCAGAAGCTAAACGCTTATACCTAGGTTTTGAGATATTTTAAATTTTCAGGTCAGCTAACCCCCCTAAGTTACTCCATCATGACACCAGAAGAAACAGTAGCCAGGTTGCTTGGGGCTTTGAGCAACCTGGTCTTGTGGAAGGTGTCCCTGCCTGTGCTGGGGGGTTGGAACTGGATGAACTTTAGGTCCCTTTCAACCCAAACCATTCTGTGAGTCTGTGAAGAATCTTCCAGCTGTAGGATTATTTGGTTTAACGGGGCATGACAAAGTCATATTGGTACATATATGAATCAATATGTATATATTAATATCTATATATACACATCAATATATATATCAATATATCTATCGGTATATCTTGATCTATGATTGAATGTTGGTTTTGGGGTAGCATGAACGGAGCCTCCAGGGTGGTTGTCCAGGGGACACACTGATTTTGGTGCATTCCAACAGAACACCTCGGAGAAAACACTGCTTTACCAGTGGGTTGAGGCCGGGGTCGGCTTTCACTCTGGTGCCATTTATTTTATTCGGGGCATTTCATCGGCGGCGTTTCCCTCTTCTCTTTCTTTGTTCCTTTAATTTTCCTGTCATCCCGCGGGGCGCCCAGCCCTGCAGACAGCCCCCGGAGCATATGTGCGTGTCACAGGCAGCCTGCTCTCCCGGCGGAGGGGGAGGGCGCCTTTCGCATGGATCCGCTCGCTAGCTGAGGGCAGCGCCGCGCCGGGCCGGGTCCTGTGATGCAGCAGTCGTGTGCGGGCAGGCCCCCCTTCTAGGCGCTGCCTGCGCTCTGCGCACGGGGTGGCGGAGGCGCGGGGCTTGGCCCCGCTCCATGGAGACCAATGGCATCGCTTCCACCCACCCCCACCGGCCCCGAGCCCGCCGGCACGCACAGCTACACGCTACAGCCCACCATGGCCCCACCGCCGCCGCCGCCGCTCCAGCCGTCGGCGAGGTGAGTGCGGGCCTCCGGGCTTCTCCGCGGAGGCCCAGACGGCTCCGGTAGAGCGCGGTGGAGGAAGCGGGGAGGAAGGGTGGGCGGGTGGCTGGGTGTGGGGAGGAACGGGGGACAGGGCGGCAGGAACCCGCGGTCACCGGCCACCATGGTGCCCTCCACACACTCCCCCTTCTTTTCCTCCTCCCCCGGGGCTCAGGCGCAGTTTTTCGGTGTACGGGGCGAGAGAGGGGCCGAGAACGGCGGAGGTGGAGGGGGGACAGGAATGGGTCTGTGTGTGTGGACGGAGCGGCAGTTAACGGTTTCATCTGGAGGGGGGGGTGTGTGGGGGGGCCCGCCGTGGCTTTACCGGATGGGGGGGGGAAGGGGAACGCCGGGAGGTGGGGAGGGCGGCGGGCGATGGGGGGAGGGGGGGGATGATGAGTGCAACAACATGGCGGCGCACTCGTGCGGGGGGGAGGGCGGGCGGCGAACTTAGAGACACGAGACATTCCCCCCCCCCCCCCCCCGTAACCGCCGGAAGCCAGACAGGAGCTGGCGCTCTACGGCTCCTGCTCAGCGCTAGAGCGGCCGCCCGGAGGCCCGGGTTGGCCCTCCCTCCGCTACCCGTCTGTTAGAGGGCAGCCAATGGCGAGAGGGCGTACAGCGAAGACGTCAGCAAGCGCCCTGAGCTTCTTGTTGCCGCGGTGCCTTGTGGGGTATCGGAGGCCTAGCGTCTCGGCAGGAAGGAAGGCGGAGCGCCGGAGGGGGGGCAAGGGGAGGGGGAGTCGGCCCGGTGCTGTAGGGCTCTCATGGCGACTAATATCGAGGAGATCTTTCGGTCCTTTGTGGTTAACAAATTCCGGGAGATCCAGGAAGAGCAGCAGCAGCAGCACAGCGGGTAATGAGCCTGCCCGGGGTGGTGGGGGAGATCGCGCGGCCGCGGCCTCTCGCGCGGGGAGTGGAGGGGTGTACGGGCAGAGGGGAAGTGCGCGGGTCCCACCTCGGCGCTGATGGAAGGAAGAAACGAAGGAGGGAGGGAGGAAAGGAGAGGGGTTGGGGCCTCGGGCTGTTGCGAGTCGTTTCGGCTTCAACATGGCGGGAGTCGGGGGGCCACTGCGGGCGGGTGGGTTGTCTCGTGGCGAACTCTCACCCGTTTTCTCTCACGGGTTTTCGGTATTGGTCTCTTGTGCTGGGGCAAGAGGGGAAGGGGCGAGCGTCTGTTAGATTGCTGTTGCCGATTTCTCTACGTTTAAGCTCGCTTAGTTCTTCCCAGCCTTATCTCGCAAAGGTAACAAAACCTACTGGAGAAGAGTGAGTGATTGATGCTTATTTTCTGAGGGGAGCCTATAAAAAGTTCCTGCGTAAAGGACGGGGGCTGTGGCACATTCAAAACCACGTTTTCCTCCCTTGTGCCTAATACTCAGTCGTCACAATGTGTTCTGTTGCGAGTGTATGAAAGCTAAACAAAAAATAGATTATTTGCTAAAAGTATGGCTTCTTCAGGAGGCTAAAATGACGTTTTGAAGGGCTGGGTTTAATAACTGCTTATGAATAAAAAAGGTCCAAAAAAAGCTCAAAATTGCTTGTATTATGTTGATATTTTTTTTGGTTAGTGGAAAGGTAGAAGGCCAGCCCAATGGTGACACAATCCCAGCTGAGCAAGCCAACCCTTCAGATGACACTGTTGCTGGTGCTGGGAGTCGTCAGAATGATCAGATAGTGCAGAAAATAGAGGAAGTGCTCTCTGGAGCCCTTGATACAGAGCTGCAGTGCAAATCAGGTAAACGAAAACATATTTGGCAAACATGTTCTTGTTTAAGAAGGTTGTCATAGTTCTTAAAATGGAATAATTTTTACAGAGATTAAAAGTACTTTTCAGTACTACTCTCAGCAAGCTTCATCTGAGAAGTTGTGTGCTGATTTTAATGTTTAAGTTTTTTTTTATCTACTCTAATTTACAACCATAGATGGACAGAGAAGTACATAATATAAAAACTTAAGCTGTTTATTTATATGAAAGCATTACTTAGTCTGCAAAAAAAGTTACTTTTTTCTCCATTACAATAATGCTATAATGTATAAGTAATATCCATTTATATATATATAATTGTACTTTTATTTTGTATATATCTACTTTAGGGCTTCAATGGGCAGTTCTTGCTAACAAAGCTGGTACTGACAAACGTGTTGTTTTGGATTGGTTCACAAGATTATTTCTAAAAATCATTTATTAGACTTCAGAACTGTAATTAACTGTTCTGTCAGAGTAAGATGCTGTGTTGTTTTAAAACAAATAATGCAATTATCTTTAAAATGTAGATACTCAAATTACATTCTTCTAAAGGTTAAGATTTTTTTTTCATCATAATCTCAAAACTTCAATAAATTACTGGATTTATTATGCCAAAAAGTTGAATATCAGTATCCCTTCTCATGAGACGAGTCATTTTTGGACATTTTTGGGAGAGTTAAGGAGTTGAAGGCTCTCATTATTGTGTTTTCAGTGTTTTTGAGTCGAATCATAGGTAACTGCTATGTGCTTGGTAAGTATAGTTCCAGAGGGACTTTTTTTTTTTTCCTAAGAGGCAGCATAGAAAATTTCAGAGATTCTGTTTTGCAAGGTTTTAGAGTTGCTGTTTCTTTCTTTTGTGTACAGTGGTTTGTTTATCTTAATCATTTTCAACAGTCTTTCACTTATGTTGCACAAGCAGCACTTTTTGCTGGCATCTGGGGTCCTATTGTTCTTCTGTCATGGAAGAATGAGGCACGCTAACATGTTAATGAATGTAAGATCTATTAATCTGTAAGTTAATAAACTTCACCTATGGTAAACGTTCCCACTGTTCATATCTGGAAAGGAGCTATTGTTGCTGTTGTGCAACAGGTTATTTGAAAAGGCTGTGTAGAACAGGTCATTTGACTCTGCTTCATTGTCCTCCTTCGTTACATTCACAGCAGTGATGGTGGAAACACTATTTTTTAAACTGTGTGTGCTCAAAACTACCTTAGATACCTCTCTATAGAAACATAAGTTATGTTAATTGGATAGGACTGCAGTATTAGTATTTTTCAAGTTAGTGTGCACTGTTCACTTGAAAGAGTATGCTTTGAAATTACAGCAAGATTATAATTGAAGAATCCATCTTGCTTCACTGACCAGTATAATCACTGAATATGGAAGCAGGCTTAAATATATAGCTCGTAGTTAACAGGAAATTGCAAGCTGCCTTTAATAAAGTGGCTTTCTCCTCAAAAGAGCACCTCTTCTATGAAGACAGGCTGAGGGAGTTAGGTCTGTTCAGCCTGGAGAAGAGAAGGCTCAGGTGGGACCTTATTGCAGCTTTCCAATATCTGAAGGGGGCCTCCAAGAAATCTGGAGTGCAATTTTTTACAAGGGCATGTAGTGACAGGACAAGGGATAATGGCTTTAAACTGGAAGAGGAGAGATTTAGATTAGATATTAGGAAAAAAATTCTTCACTGTGAGCATGGTGAGGCACTGGAACAGGCTGCCCAGAGAAGCTGTGGCTGCCCCATTCCTGGAAGTGTTCAAGGCCAGGTTGGACACAGCCTTGAACAACCTGGTCTAGTAGAATATGCCTCTGCCTGTGGCAGGGAGGGTTGGAACTTCTGACTTCTAAGTCCTTTCCAACCCAGATCATTCTATGAAGCCATGGTACTAGATCCAAAGAAGGGTAAGAACCTAACACAGGTTAAATTCAGAGGGAAATGAGGTATAGAATTAAAAGAAAGCGATTGAAACCTTAGTCTTCCTCCTTTTATTTATTTTTTTTCTTTTTGCCTCAGTGGTTGTTTGTACCTGCAGTTACCTGAATTTCTCAGTTACTTTCCTGTTTGAAGCAAAAGCTCTGTTAGGTACTTTCAGGTTTGCCTGTGGCAACTCCAGTCTGAGCAGCTGGTTGCCTGCAGTGCCTTAAAGCTTCCATGGGATTGGGGAAGTAGATGCTGTTTCCCAAAATTTGTTTGAAATACTGTGTCAGTGAGAAATTTAAATCAGTAAACACACTTATATAACTTCTAACACACAAGTAATACTGATCATGCTCACAAGTTTAAGTATAGTAGGGAATAATGGGCTGGCCACATTTTATACAGTAAGCATACTACCACTTAGATAAGTTGTCTGAAAAATGGGAGTTATTTTTTTTATGTGCAGCTTGGTGTAGTTTAAAAGCACATCCCCACCCTCCTGAAAGAATGAACTGCACAGTTGAATATAGGTGGAAGTATATCCAACTACTTATTGGGAGGAGTCATCTTCCCACTGAAACTGACCAAGAAGATTTCTTTTAACTTTTTGAAAGAAAAAGTAGTTATTTTTACTTCCAAGTGACACCAGAGAAGGGTTAGAGTGCTGAAAAGGGAGTGTGCAATTTTGTGTGGTAGTTTAGTGAAGAAGGCGTGGGTTTCAAGTTTAATTTTTCTGACTGTCCATGGCTTGGTCACTAGTCTAAAAGAATTTCTGAAATGCCATTTTAATAAAATTTACAAGGAAAATATCGTTTCTTCTAGATGTAGACAAAAATACTGTGAAAAATAGTTCTCAGCCTACAAAAAGAAGCTCTACTGCTGAAGATGAAATTCCTAGGAAAAAATCAAAGAAGAACAAGAAGCACAAAAGCAAGAAGAAGAAGAAAAAGAAGAAGAAAAGGAAGAAAGAGAAAAAGCATAAAAAGCAGCCAAAGGAGGCAAAGCTGAGTGCACGTCATGGAGACCGTGGGGACGCACAGCCTACTTCTCAGTTAATACCAGAGAAATCAAGCTCCAAACTGAGCGTACAGCATGGAGGATTTGAAGGTGCAAATCTGGCTGTCCATACGCAGCCAGAACTGTGCTTGCAAACAAGTGCGGAGCTTGACAGACAAGCTGTAGGGCTTGTTTCTCATTCAGGAACTGATTCTCAGCAATCTACAGAAAATCTTGGGAGTGAGCAGGGGACTTTGTTTGCAGCAAATCCTCCATTTACTTTAGAAGGCAGTCAGTCTGATACCCAAGGAGATGCTAGTATAGCTCAAACTAGAATTTGCACTAGAGAAGAACAAATTAAACAGTCTCATGACAATATTTATCCTATAGCTATTAATGTGAGTGAAAAGGGTGTTCTTATTGATACTGGAAGTAATACTTCATCTAGCATCCTGTATGAAGTCACCAATAAATCTGACATACAGAAAGATTCAACAGTAACTCTAGCTTCAGAGGTAGTTGAGGCACTAAAAGGTTCAGCAGTTACTCTGAAATCTGAAGGCACTGGGGAAGTAAAAGCTTTGGATACAGCTCCTGAGTCTGAGTCCATGGAGGTGTTGACATATTCAGAAGCATTTCTACAGTCTGTGGCACAGGGGGGAGCAAAAGAAATGGAAGCAACTTCGGAGTCTGTGTATTCAGCAAGTAATGTAACAACTAGTCCTAAATTTGCAAGTCAGGCAGATCTGAGTACTGTGAATGTAGCTCACATGTCTGTGGCCATGGAAGAAGTGAGAATTCAAGAAGCAACTGAAAAATCTCTGCCTATGGGAAATGTGGAAAGATCTTTGCAATTAGGAGGTCTGAGCAGAACTTTGGAGCCAGCCGTGAAAATCTCAGTTACATCTGATGACTTGAGAGTGATGCAGGCCAGTCCCATCGAGGGTTCAAGTGTTTTGAAGGCAGATACGTCTTTGCAACATCCTTATAAAGTATCTGCAGCGGCTGCTGTGACCCAGATGGAAATAAAAAGTGTCAATATGGACCAGGGCTCAGGAGCTGTTACAGAAGTGAAGGGTATTGAACCAGCTAGAAGCTCTGGACATACGGAAAATGTGAAAACTTTGGAAGGAGCTTTGCAGCCAGTTGCTGTAGGAAAGCCCGAAAGTTTGGAAACAATCCTGAAACCTGTGGATGTTGCAGCAAAAGATGTCACAGCAGCTCAAGAACATCTGCAGGCTGAAGTAAAATATGTGGAAGGTACCACTGGTCCTGCAACAGTGTTGTATGCATCAAGAGTGTTCCTACAGCCTAATGTCTTGACAGACACAAGAAGTGTGGGTAGAACCCAGGAATCTATCCTTCCAGCAGAATTGACACATGTGAATGTGGTTGCGGAGATAGAGGGTTTAAGATCAGCTTTAGAACCTATTGGCCAGACCTTTGCTCCCCAGACAGTTCCAGAAATCCAGATGGTGGAGGGTTTTAAAGGTCCACAAGCAACTACAGAAGTTGCAGCACTAGCAGGAGTAAAAATTCGAGAAACAAGTCAAGCTGCTCTGCAGCTGGAAAATACTGATGCTTCAAAAATTTCAGAATCTACTTTCAAGCCTGTTGCTGTAACAGCAAAAGATTCAGAAGATACTTCATTACTGAGACGAGAGGAGCCGAGAGAATTAAGATATGAGGGTGAATCAAGTGTGAGAGGTCCCCTGTCTTTGCAGAATGAAGCTATGAGTGGCCTAGGAGGAGTCCTAAGACCAGTGGCTGTGGTGGAAGCAGAAACTTTGAAAACAATTTCACCATCTTTGCAAATGGAAGGTGTAAAGGCTTCCGAAGCTGTGCACTGTGGGACTGTGGCCAGAGGTTTAGCAGCAACAGTGGGTTCAACAGTGGTGTCAAAAGCTTCAGACATAAATTTTGAGGGTATGGCAGTAGAGGCAGGCTCAGATGCCAGTCTGGCTATGAAAGTAGAAGCAAGTCCAGGGCTTCCTGCCTTGGAAGAAATGTCGGAAAGGCCTCCTGAATCTGTGGTTGCATGTGTAAGCATGGAAGCGGTTAGGGAGTCTGATGCATTAGCAGGAATGATGCATTTGAAAGCCACAGCAGATGGAGAACCAAAACATACAGAAGCAGTTGCAGAACCTCTTGGTGCAAACAGAACAGAGAGCTACATTTCACAGTCTCAGGTCATGGCACATACAAGAATGCCACAACCTGATACAGTAGGGGACATAAAGGATTCTGAACTAGCTACCAGTTCTGCCACCGTAGAAGTGAGGGATTTAGACAACTTGAAAGTTGAGGCAGTTGCAGAGGTAAGAGATGTGGAAGTGAGATCAAAAACTTCACACTTAACACAGATGAAAAATTTGGAAATGGTTGTGGGATTTGAAACAAGGGCCCTAATGGAAGGCATGGGAAGAGCATTGGCATCTGAGGTGGTTAGGAAAATGAGGTATTCTGAAGTTGCTCCAGAAGATTCAAACAAAGCAAAGGCAAGGAGTGAAGAAGCAGTATTAGAACCCCAGCAAACTGTGATGGTGCAGACTTTAGAAACAAGTTCAAAATCTATACAGGAACAAATAGTAGGTCATTCAGAAGCAGTATTAGAGCATTTGCCCAGAGTGGAGGAAAAAACTATGGCATCAGAAATGGTGACAGAAGTAAGCAACTTGAGAGGAACTTTGGAATCTAAGATTTCAACAGATGTGAGAACTCAGGGACCTACTGTAGAATATATAATTGCAACAAGGAAGACAAGCGCACAAAAAAATGAGCCCTCGCTTAGCGATGTCAAATATTTGGAAGAAGCTTCAGAAATGGAGAAATCAGTGAATGCAGAATACTTGGAGCCAGCATCAGAAGCTGGAGAACTGAGGTTGGAAAGTATGAAAGAGTCTGCAACAGTAGAGGTGAAAGGTTCTGAAACAGTCGAAGTGCCTGAGGTACACATGGATATCCAAGGAAATCTGGGGGCGATGAATGTTTTAGAGCATGTTTCAGAAGCTGTTCCAGAATCTTTACGTATTGAAAAGGAAGAAAATCTGCAAACCATTCCAGAAGCAAAAGCTGCTGTAGAATGGAAGAGTACAGAAGAAGCTCCAGAAATCCTGACTGCTGCTGAAGTGAAATCTTCTGAAGCAGGTCTAAAACTAGGGGACATGAAACATTTGGAAACATCACTGGAACATGAAGTGGCAGCAGAAGTACGATATGCAGAAGTGCAGTGTCAGCAGGTGGAGGATGTGAGAGCTCCAGGTCAAGCTCAGGAATGTGAGATACTAGTTGAGAAGAAAGATACAGAGCAAAGTCAAACATCTGAGCCTTTTACAGCAGAAACAGCTTTCAGCTCTTCACATGCTGCAGATGAAAAAGAGACTCCTGAATCTGAAATAATTGGAGACGCGAAACAGTTGGAAGCAGCTCCAGCTGATGTGGCAGAAACAAAAGGTTTGGAAACCGTTTCTCTTCCTGACACTGTTGTAGAGCTGAAAGATACAGAAGCAGCTGTGGGGTTGGAGGGAGAGACACAAGATTTGGAAGCAGCTTCAGTACCTGAGACTGCTGAAGAAGCAGAGCCAGTACCTGTGGCAGAGGCAGGCCAGGTGGAAGTCATTCCACAGGCTGAGGCTGTCAAAGAAGCAACTCCAGAACAGGATTCAGAGAAAAGAGATTCAGAAACATCCGATGTACAGCCTGATGTGGCGGCACGAATGAAAGAGACTCTGATGAGACTCGAGAAAGTTGTTGAAAAAAGTAGCCATAGAAGCAGTGATAAAAAACATGATGCAAAGAAACAAAAAAGGAGTCGCTCCAAATCTCACTCCAGGTCTAGGAAGCGGAAGAAAAAATCAAGGTCACGTTCCACTTCTAGACGTTTGACCTCTAAAAGAGCACGTTCTAGGAGCAGAAACTATTCAGATTCCAGAAAAAAGCATTCCAAATCTAGATCCCGATCTGTGGAGAAGAGAGAGAGAAGAGTGTCTTCCCGGAGGTCTAGGCGCAGACGTTCCAGGTCATCTGACCACTACAGGTCTAAATCGAGATCAGCAGAGAAGAGAGGGAGCAGATTGTCCAGACGCAGACGTTCCAGGTCATCTGACCGCTACAGGTCTAAATCCAGATCAGTGGAAAAGAGACTGTCCTCCCGAAGGTCCAGACGCAGGCGTTCCAGGTCGTCTGACCGCTACAGGTCTAAGTCCAGGTCAGTGGAAAAGAGACTGTCTTCTCGAAGGTCTGGGCGGAGACGTTCCAGGTCATCTGACCGCTACAGGTCTAAGTCCAGGTCAGTGGAAAAGAGACTGTCCTCCCGAAGATCTGGGCGCAGACGTTCCAGGTCATCTGACCGTTACAGGTCTAAGTCCAGGTCAGTGGAAAAGAGACTGTCCTCCCGAAGGTCTGGGCGCAGACGTTCCAGGTCGTCTGACCGTTACAGGTCTAAGTCCAGGTCAGTGGAAAAGAGACTGTCCTCCCGAAGGTCTGGGCGTAGACGTTCCAGGTCTTCTGACCGCTACAGGTCTAAGTCCAGGTCAGTGGAAAAGAGGGGGAGCAGGTTGTCCTCTTGGAGATCCCGCCGCAGACGTTCTGGGTCTTCTGACCGTTCTAAATCTAGATCCAGATCTTCAGAAAAGAGAGGAGGCAAAGAATACTCATGGAGATTCAGACATAGAGGATCTGGTTCCTCTGATCGTTCAAAATCTAGGTCAAGATCTGTTGAGAAGAGAGGTCGGAAGGCATCTCTGCGGAGATCTAAACGTCAGCGGTCAAAGTCCTCTGACCGTTACAAGTCTCGATCCAGATCAGTAGAAAAAAGAGATCGAAAGCAGTCTTCACGGAAGTCTAAACGTCAGCGCTCAAAGTCTTCTGACCGTTACAAATCTAGATCTAAATCAGTGGAAAAAAAGAAAGAGTCTTCACGGAAGTCTAAGCGTCGCCGCTCAAAATCATCTGAACGTTACAAGTCTCGGTCTAGGTCTGTCGAAAAAAAGCGCAAGGAATCTTCAAAAAAATCCAAACGGAAACGTTCCAAGTCGTCTGATAGTGTTAAGTCAAGGTCAAAATCTGTAGAAAAAAGAGGGAGTAAATTATCCTCAGTGAAGTGTAGCAGCAAAGGTGTGGAATCTTCTGAATGTCAGGATTCAACCCAGTGTCTTGAAGAAGGAGAAATTGTTGAACAGTCTTCTGCAAGTGAAGACAGTCCCCGCAAATCCTCTAATGGTCCCATGTCAGTAGCTTTGTCTGATGAAAGGGTAAATGGCCCAGAGCTGCCTCCAGCATTTGATAGTGGGTTTTCCAAAACTTCTGACAGTCTTGAGAGCAGTTCCTCGTCTGTTAAAGAAATAGCAGGTCTACAGCCTTCTGTGGTGTCCGAATTTGATAGCTCCAGAATCTCAGATGACCAGGAAAGATCACAGGTTTCAGAGCTTTCTGTGACATCTGGAAATGGATCAGCTGAAAAAGCAGTGGCTCTGGAGTCCTCACTACCTGAACTTACATGCTCCACATCCAAGTCAAGATCCTCATCTGTTGAAAAAAGAGATCCAGAAACTTCTTCGGTAACAGAATTTCAGCTCTCTGCATCCCATGAGGATGAGTCGAGATCTACTTCTGTCAAAGAAATAGAGGGTCCAGAGTCTCTTCTGACACTTGAAAGTGGATGCTCTGTGTCTTCAGATGATTACAAGACAACCTCCTTAGCCTCCAGAAGAACAGAGGTTCAGGAATCTTTGATGTCTGAAAGTGTACTCTCTGGCTTGCCTGATGCTCATGAATTGAGACATACCCCAGTTGAAAAAACAGAGCCTCAGAACTTTTTACAAGTACCTGAAAGTGAATCTTCTGAAGCAGCAGAGGCTCAAAATTCTGTTCTAGCACCTGAAGTTCCATGCTCTGCATTCCCTGATGACTGTGAGTCAGCCTCCTTGCCTGCTGAAAAGGGCCAGATGCAGGAGCCTTCTTTGGCTTCTGACAGTGGATGCTTCAGATCTCCTGATGCTCATGAACCCGGATCTAGCTTTAATGCACAAACAGAGGAGCTTCTGTTGATGTCTGAAAGTGGGTCCTTCAGGTCACCTGATGGAAATGAACAAAGGTCTTTTTCTGTTGAAAAAGTCAAGGTTCCAGATGTTTCCTTGCAAGCGGAATGCGGCCGTGTTGAGATCTTGGACGACCTCGTTTCAGCATCGTCATTTGGAAGAGTACAGGAAGCTGGACTGACAACTGTAGGGCAAAGCTGCAAGTCTTCTGGAGTTCATGAGTCCAGATCATCTGTTGACAAAGATGGTCTAACACTTCCACAAGTAGTCGAAATTGAGTGCTCTGAACCTTCTGAAATGCATGAATCGAGATACCTGCCTGCTGGAAAAATAGAGGGTGCAGGATCTGTATTGATGTCTAGAAGTGGAATTCCTGTGTGCCATGATGGCCATAAAACAAAACACAATTACTTTGAGAAAACAGAAGGTGCAGAACTGTTGTTGGCATCTGAACTTAGGTGTTCTGTCTTCCCTGAAAGCTATGAATTGACATCCACTGCAGTTGAAAAAATGGAGATGCAGAGGCTGGAAAGTGGATTCTCCAAGTCTGGTGATGTTTGTGAAGCATTAAGCACACCTATGGAAAAACTACAGGCCCCAGTGACTTCGCTGACATCTGAAGGTGGGCTTTTCATGTTGCCAGATAGTCATGAACTGAGACCTGTCCCTGCTGAAGAAGTGGAGGTGCTAAAGTCATCTGAACTGAAGTGTGTTGCATCCCCAGATGACCACAAGTTGAGATCTGTCTATCATGAAGAAATACAGGTGCAGGAGCCACCTCTGATAGTGGAAGGTAGATGTTCAGTTTTGTCTGATGGTGATGAGTTGACGTCCACCTCTTTTGAAAAAATTGAGGTAGAGGAGCCTTCTCAGTTGTCTGCAAATGAATACACAATTGGGCTTGATGGCCCAGAGTTGACATCAACCCCTGCTGAAAAAACAGAACTGCGGGAACTTTATCGGATGTCTAAAGAAAGATGCTCTGTGTCTGCTGAGAGTGAGGAGTTGCGGACACCCCTAATTGAAAAGATAGAAGTGCAAAAGCCTGCTCTGACATCTGAAAATGAATATGCTATGTCTTGGGAAGGCCAGATGGCATCTAGCTCTCCTGAAAAGGTAGAGATACAGGAGGCTTCTGTAGTACCTGGCAGTGAACATGCTGTGTCTTCTGAAGAACACGAATTGTCTTCCCTTGCTGAAAAAACAGAGATACAGGAGTGTTCTTTGCTGTCTGAAAATGAATATGTTGCATCACCTCACAGCCAGGAGGTGGCAGCCAGCCCTGCTGAGAAAGAGGTGCAGGAGCCTTCTCTGACATCTGACAGTGGATATACTGTCTTCCCTGAAGGCCAAGGATTACAGTTTACCCTTGCTGAAAAAATAGTGGTACAGGGACCTTCACTAATATTGGACAGTCAATATGTTGCATCCTCCGAGGGTCAGGAGTTGCACTCTGCTGTCACTGAAAAAACAGAGGGACAGGAGTGTTCTTTGCTGTCTGAAAATGAGTATGATGTATCCCCTCAACGCTGTGATTTAAGGTCCAGTCCTGTTGAAAAAGAAGAAATGGAGGAGCCTTCTGAAACATCTGAAAGTGAAAGTTCAATGTCCACTGATAGCCAAGAGCTGCAGTCTGCTGCTGTTGGAAAAACAGAGGTGCAGGAGTTGTCTTTGTCTGAAGGTGAATGCGCCATGTCTCCTGGAGGTCAGGAGATGCGGTCCAGCTCTGCTGAAAAAGTAGAGGCAAAGGAACCTCTGACGTCTGAAAATGTTCTGTCCCCTCAAGAATGTGAATCAAGGTTGACTCGTGCTGAGAAAACAGAGGATATGAATTCTTCTTTGACATCTGAAAACGACAATCTTTTGTCTTTTGAGGGCCAGGATGTAAGATTCACAGCTGTTCAGAAAGCAGATTTGCAGGAGCTTTCATCAACTCCTGAAAATGAACATGCAGCATCTCCTTATGGCCAGGAGTTGAGATTCTCTGCTATTGGAAAAGAAGGTGGTTTCGAAGTTTCAACGCTAAATGATAGCATCTCCATGTCCCCTGATGATTTGAAAGCCATCCCTGCCGAAAAAATGGACGATGCAATGCCATCTTTAATTCCTGAAAGTGCATCTTCCATGTCCCCTGATGGCTACAGTGTAAAATCTGGTCCTGGTGAAGAAACAGGAGATCTAGAGCCCTCTTTGATATCTGAACGTAGACATTCTACATCCTCGTATCAGGAGAGCCGTGAGCTGAAATCTCCCACGGAGGAAGAAGGTCTAGAGTCCTCTTTGACTCCTGAACATAGACGATCTGTGTCCCCTGAGGGCCATGACCGAAAGTCTATCGTAGATGAAGAAATGGATGATCGGGAGCCCTCTTTGACATCTGAACATAGGCGCTCCACATCCCCTGATGACCATGAGTCAAGATCTAGCATTGGTGAAGAAGCAGAGTATCTGGAGCAGCCTTTGACAACAGAACGTAGATGCTCTGTGTCTTCTGATGAGCATGAGTCAAGGTCTACCGCTGGGGAAGAGGTAGAGGATGTAGAACCCTCCCTTACAGCTGAACGAAGAGACTCCACATCTTCTGATGAGCGTGAGTCGAGGTCTACTGTTGGTGAAGATGCAGAAGATGGGGAGCCCTCTTTGACAGCTGAACGTAGGCACTCCACATCCTCTGATGACCGTGAATCAAGGTCTACAACTGGTGAAGAAACAGAGGATTTAGAACCTTCTTTGACAGCTGAACACAGACGCTCCGTGTCTCCTGATGGCCGTGAATCAAGGTCAACCACTGGTGAAGAAGCAGAGGACCGGGAGTGCTCTCCAACAGCTCAACGTAGACACTCCACATCCTCAGATGAATCTGAGTCAAGGTCTACTGCTGGTGAAGATGTGGATGATGTAGAGCCCTCCTTGACGGCTGAACGAAGAGATTCCACATCATCAGATGATCATGAGTCAAGGTCTACCACCGGTGAAGAAGCAGAGGATGTGGAACCCTCTTTGACAACTGAACACAGACGTTCCACATCCCCTGATGGACGTGAATCGAGGTCTACCACAGGCGAAGAAGTGGATGATGTGGAGCCTTCTTTGGCAGCTGAACGAAGAGACTCCACGTCGTCAGATGAGCATGAGTCAAGGTCTACCACTGGGGAAGAGGGTGAGGATGGAGAGCCCTCTTTGGCAGATGAAGATAAACAAGATTCCATGCCTCTTGAGAGGTCGGAGGAACAGGACTCTTCCTTTGTACCTGAAAGTAGGCGTTCTGAGTCTTCTGAACGTGAGAAATCCAGATCCAGATCTGTTGATAAAATGTCTGACAAAGAGTCTTCACAGAGATCCATAAGCAGGCACTCAAAGTCTCCTGCTCACCAAAAGAGTCGATCTGCATCTGTTGAAAAAGTGGCAGACAGAGAATCTTCACGAAGATCTAGACGTAGGCGCTCCAGGTCTACTGCTCACCCGAAGAGTAGATCCACATCTGTTGAAAAAACAACAGACAAAGAATCTTCACGGAGGTCTAGACGTAGGCGCTCCAGGTCCACTGCTCGCCAAAGGAGTCAGTCAACATCGGTGGAAAAAGTGGCAGACAAAGAATCTTCACGGAGATCTAGACGCAGGCGCTCCAGGTCCACCGCTCGCCAAAGGAGTCGATCCAAATCAGGTGAAAAAACAGCAGACAAAGAATCTTCACGGAGATCTAGAAGCAGACGCTCCAGGTCTTCTCAGCGCAGATCCCAGAGATACGATACAGAATCTCGTTCTAGACGGAATCGCTCCAGATCAGTAACACGGAGAAGAGCATCAAGATCAAAATCTAATCGTCGGTCTCGGTCTAGTTCGTTGTCGCGTTCAAGGCATAGAAGGAGGAGTAGGTCAAGGTCAGCATCAAGGCGGCGGCGTTCTTTATCAAGAGACAGGCGTAAGAGATCACAGAGAAACAGATCAAGATCTACTGATAGAAGAAGAAGAAGATCAGATTCAAGAGATCGTAGAATATCACTCAGACTACGGAGCAGGAGTCGAACACCTATTCGTCAAAGGCGATCAAGGTCAAGAGGAAGAAGACGGAGCTCTAGTAGGTCACCAATTCGGCTGCGGCGATCAAGATCTTCAGGGAGAAGAAGATACAGCAGATCACCTGATCGTCGTAGGTCAAGGTCATCGGAATTTTCAAACAGGTCACCTAAACGTCTTACAGACTTGGGTAAGTGATAAGTTTATTTTCAGTATTTCCATGTTTGGGTGGTACTGTGCTCATTCACATAGTATTCCTTAATTTAGTATATTTCTCTAGCATTCATAAAGAATTTCTTGGAAGTCAGTTCGAGCATTGTTTTCAGGCAGTGATTTCCTGTGGGAACTTCTGCGTTGAAGCTGAATCAATGCTTGCTGTTTGGATGAAACTGTATTTAGAGCAAGTTATATCTTGGTTTTAGAACTTTTATGCAAAAGTAGTTTGTTACAGTCTTGGGGAACATTGTTCACTCTAATAGTCAGTAAAGGCCACATACTCTGCAAGAAACGTAGGGATTTCTAGTTTTACTGAGAACAAAATGGGCATGAAAGAACACTTGAAAGTGACAATTGGAGAGTTCTTAGATGTGTTGTCAGCTGTAATGATTGTTTATTTGTTTGCGTTACCCTCTCTGTATTGCCTCTTTCCCATGGTAAAAACTTAATGACCAGAGAAAGAGAGGCCTTGGGGTTTCCTTAGGTAGTAAGTTACACAAGGAGAGTGCAGGTTTTAATTTTGAGAGATGAACTCTTGTACAGTGTGTGAGGAAGCTTCTTTTTTTGCAGACCTCGGGTTCTGATCCTTTTAGTCCTGTCTCATAAAGTTCCTATGAAAGCCCCTCTACCAGAGAAGCATTTCTGTACAAAACATGACAATTAATAAGAGTCCTTGAATCTGCCTTCATGCTTTTATTATGCAGCAAGTCTGTGTTTATATACTTCTATTGCTTAAGAAGCAAAGGAATATTGCCCTTTTGGGATTTTCTTAAAGTTGAATGCTTGCAAGAGATAGTGGTAACTCAATTTATTTGCAAACTGGCACATCAAGCAAGACATACTTCATTTTCATCCTGTATTTCTGTGGTGCGGCCACATGTACTTTTTTTTCTTAATAAAGCAAAATACTGTTTTATTAACAGTTTTGCATGTAATTTTGTTTTATGCAAGTGCCCATCTTACTCAGTGCTTTTATTTTTCTGTTGGTTGATAGTAAGTAGCTTTCAGGTTACTTACATGGAGACTTGCAGGGATTTCCTCAAGACCTTTGAATGCTTTTCAGAGATAGCTAGGAAGTAGACTCATTATTTCCAAAATGAGAGTGAGTTGGTGAAGTCAAACAGGCGTCAGAACTTGTGGGGTTTGGAGGATTTTGACTGTTGTAGTTTGGACTCCCATGCTTTGAGTTAAATTTGCAATTTCGCTTGTCTGTTGTGTAGACCAAATTAAGTATGGAGTAACTAAGTACAATTTTAACTGTTTTAGATATTTGCATAGAACAAAAAAAATGAAGTGTGTGTAGAATCTTTTGTCTTTGTACTTTATTTAGTCTGCAATAAATGCCTAGTTATTATTAATACAATCTAGAAAAATAATAATTCTTCTTTAAAAAAATCATTTTAGACAAGGCCCAGCTACTCGAAATAGCCAAAGCTAATGCAGCTGCCATGTGTGCTAAGTCTGGTGTTCCCTTACCACCAAGCCTGATGCCTTTGTTATCTCAAAAGAAAGACGACAAAGCCAACCAGAAGTCATCAAGAGATACGCTAAAGGAGCTTACTGAGGTAAGTAAGAGCAACAGTAGCACACCTGAAAATAAGCAGATTTGGTTTTTTGTGACTAGGCAACCTGTCATTTTGTGTGGGAAATGGCCTGTGGTTTGAGACCTTTTTGTCTACACTTCGGTTGTTGTTTTTTTTAAGTCATGAAAACAGGCTTTTTAATTCCATGGAAATGCATGAAGTCCAATTTTTTATTTTTTTATTTTTTTTTACCTTCTTTCCTGGCTTTGATTTTGTTCTAATTTTGCACAAATTAGTAGTTCTCTTTGCAGTCTTGTTAATAAACTCCAAAGCTTTCACTTCTGGTTTCTGGTTCTGGTGATGTTAGTTATTTATGTTCCTACTTTTGTCAGTTAGCTTCACATTGTTCAGGTTAACTTGGGCTTAAATATCTGGTGCCCACTTCATATAGTTCTGTGTATATTAAAGTGCACTCTGAGATACTTACTGTTGCATTTCTATCCTGTTGCAGTTTAAGTCTGCAAATGGGATGGTTTTGTCCTGATTGTGGGGGAAAAAAAATGCTACTTTTACTGTAGTAGGGTCACCTTGTTCAATTTGCTAATTTCCTCTATTTCCTGTTATGTTTTCCCCCAGAAACTACAGAAAAATTTGAATGGGGGGAGGAGGAGAAGTGCCTGCTTTTAATTTTATTTGTTTGGTTGGTTTTTATAATTGCATCATCAGCGTGACAGTTCTGAAATAATCTGTTTATGGAAATACACCTGAAATTAAGCAGTGTCATATCACTGAAAAGTAATCTCTTAGTTGTGTGGGGGTTAGTAGAAGTCAAAGTACGTGTTAATAAAAAAACAGATTGTGCAGATACAGTGTGCAGACCTTCAGTAGTTCTTGATGTAACCTGAGCAAGACGCAGAGTGGCTAGTACCAATTTGGAAGCCAAAATCCTGCTCCTTCCTTGTTCTTTCCAGCTGTTTAGAATGTGTTCTGTTGAATCAAAATAGGCCACAGAAGCAGTCCAGGTCATTGTCATATGGTAATGTGTCCAAGCAAAGGATCCTTCCAGAGCCTGCTCACTTTCTTCTAAAGCTGGCAGTGTTGTCTTTCTTTCCTCTCTGCAATATAACCTGCAAACAGGACAAACTGCTTCCAATTAGTTGGGAGCTAACTAATAACTCTAAATAATATATATTGATTAACTTTCCAAATAGTGTAGGCTTTTCCTGTTGCCTAAAGAATGGGCTTCAGTCATTGTTTGTAGGCATCTTAGTACAGGAGAGTGCAGAAATCTGTTTTTATAAGGACTGATGAGAGCAGTGCCTTCAATGTGTCTTGATTTTTAGTGATGTAGCTGCTGTTTTGCTCCTTATATACCAACAATGAGGTCCTCAAAACAGATGTGACTTACAGTGAATGGTCTGAACTTAAACTAGAATCCAGCCAAATGGTGGCTGCATTTTGCCAGTATTATTTCCTCAAATATTATGTCGTCAAATGCCTTGTAAGTCTTGTAAATGTGCTTCTAATGAATGGAGACATAATAAATGCATTATACTAGACTATAATATTTTCTACTGCATTTTTGACTTAAGTTATAGTTGCTGCTGATAAACACTCGGTGCAGATAACTAATCAGTAAAGAATTTTTCATCATAAAATTCTAGCCTCTTTAGAATTTCATTTTGTTGGGTTTTTTCCTTCACCTGGAGGCACTCTTCTGATTTGACTGCGGTATCCCCGTAGCACCTACATGTTTTATGTTTAACTCCTGTTGAATATAAGATGGTGATGTCAGGCATAAGTGGCCAACATAAAAATATCTCAGAAGAAATCTGAGGTTTTCTGGAGCCATTGCTTCTGACTGGGTCTCTGCTACCTGTACAATTTAGAATTACTATTAATTCTTGATTTTTCCTGTGTTGTAATTTTGGAAGTTAATGCAGAAGCTTCTATCAGATTGCAGTATGCTGGTTACATGGGATGTGAAACAAACAGTGAGCTCCTACTCTGGAATGTCTGCAACCTTAGGCACACATCCTGTAACTACCATTGTGTGGCAGGTTTTACAGTATGCTGCTGAAATATTATGTCTGAAATTACTCACTGCATGAGTGCCTAGCAAACCTAGGTAGGTGTTTGATAATGTGTGTCAAATGTCAGGTACATATATGGATTACATTGCTAAAATTTCATCAAAAATTTTTCTCATTTTATACCTCCTTTAGAAAAGATGTTGGGGTTTTTATTTATGTTTTGGCTGAAAGTCCAGATTTATTCAAAGCTGTCATGTTTCCCCCCACCCCTTCTCTTTTTAAGAAATGCAAGAAGATTGCCCAGAGCACAGATGATGTGATAGTGAACAAACCTCATGTTTCTGATGAAGAGGAGGAAGAGCGTCCTTTCTATAATCATCCTTTTAAGCTCAGTGAACCCAAACCTATATTTTTCAATTTAAGTGTAAGTACTTCTTTAATTTTCAATTTTTTGAATTACAGTTATTTTTAAATAATGAAAGTAAATTTGTAAGAAATTAAAGAGGGATCAGTAATTTTGATGAAATTGCGCTGGATGTTGTCAAAAGTACTCTCGCTACAATAAGGAACTTGCATATAGTCTATGAAATTGTAGTAAGTCTCAGAACTGGATTGAAACTGGTTTTGCCATTAGTGCCTTTGCAGCTTTTAGATTAAATAACATAAAAAGGGTCAGTTTACTTCGTGTTTTCATGCAGAAATACTAGTATGAATTTGCAAACAGTACTGGAATTGGAAAGCACTTTTGGATAGGCACTGCTTTTCTTTAAAAGACAAAAATAAAACAACCCATCAAAATTCTAGAAGCATTTTAAGGTGTTCTAAATAAGATGATGCCATTAGCTTTGCACAAACTCCAGGTCTTGTCTGCTTCTTCAGTAGATCTCAACTGGTCACTAAAGGAGAGAAGAGTTCTGTTAGTCTTGAGATTAGCAAAGGCTGTTCAAAGAATGAGGATCACTGATGCTGCCTGTAGCTGAGAGGGTCTAAATGGTCCATTAACCCCCCCTCCTTGGGGGACTGCCTTTGACTGTCATAGCTTGTGTCGATGCTTTCTGGGTATGAGCAAGGAATAAAATCATAGAGTGTTTCTTTAAGTGCATCTGTGATTCATACTCTTTGAAGCATGGATCAGAACTTTTCTAGGTTTTGGTGTTTTCTTTTTTTTTTCCCTTGTATTTTCAGGTTTGTTTTTTCTTTTTGTGCGTGTGAAAGTTGCTCTGATTATGCAGGGTATAGAGTACTATAAAAGTGTTAATATGCTAAGTGAAAATATAAATAGCATGTATATTTTTATGTACAAATATATATATCTTGTGGCATACACAAAATAAACAGTAATACATGTTTGTGTAAGCTGTAAGGTAGAAATAGATTTATACTTTATATTGTACTATGAGAAAGTGGTACAATGTGAAGTATGTTCTGAAGTTCAGTAAACCTCAGGATTCTTACAGGCTCCAAAGAGGAATGTTCTTTAGTGGTTAGGGCTGCTCTGCCTGTTTTCCAAAGTCCTGACATTTTAGTGTTATTCTTCCCATTCTTTCTGGATTCTATTCTTACTACCATTCCTGTCCATCTTCGTTTGATAGTAGAGGTTTACCCAATATTTTCAGCTGTCTGGGCTCTGTTTGCTTCTTAGAAGAGGAACCTGTCAGAGATTTCTGAGAACTCCTTAGCAGTACTCTCTAAGGAAGACCAGCTCATAGACTTAATCTACTTTAAAATTCATGCTGCTATTAAAAAATAATCAAAACCTAGAAAAGAAAACATTGAAACTACTTTCTCTATGTATAGTAGTGTAGAGCTTTTTACCATCATGAAATATCACAGCTGATGTGTTTTGCTGCCCAGGAATTTCATTTTTGAGCTTTCCATACAAAATACATGTGTGGCAGATGAAGATTGTTCTCTTTATGATGGTGTCTGGGTGGAGGGAAAGCAGGAAGGTTAATTGTGAGAGTCAGGTTTTGTGTACTTTTTTGGCTGCTGAAGCTGACTGAAGCGATTTTAGCTTCTAGCTAAAAATCTGTTGCTCACTTGTGTGTTTTTAGGGCTGTGCTAAAATTATTTGTTATAAAGGCTTTTGGTTTAATTATGGTAAGAAGGATGACTGTTTTGTGAAAGCTTGGCACCAAGTATAAGCAGTAAATAGTTTCTCAAAGACACGTTGTGAGCATTGTGTGTTTTCAAGTTTTAACTTCTTCTAATTTTATTTCTTCAAGACTCCCAGCATAAAACCAGCACCACCTCCACAACCAAAAAATCAAGTCAGCCTGTCAAAGGAATTCCCTGTTTCATCTGGGTCTCAGCATAGGAAAAAGGAAGCAGATAGTGTCTATGGAGAATGGGTTCCAGTTGAAAAAGGCAAAGAAGACAGCAAGGATGATGTTTTCCCCAAACCATCCATTGAGGTAAGGAAGGGAAGGAAAGCTTATCATATAAGAAAACCCAAGCCATTACCTGCTCAATCTGGTGTCAAATCACAGTCTGTGAAGAAAAAACACGTACATAGGTAGTATTTAACACTTGCATAAGCTACTCATCTGAACTTCTGCAGTGTGGCTATGCTTGTGTAGGCAGTGACGAAAGTAGCCTGTACCCATATCTTGTGCTTTTGTCAACTAGTGACTTCTTTGCCTCAATAGAATTTAAGCTTTTGCTTGAACATGAAAAGGAAGATTCTTGTCCAGTTTCCTGCAGAGGTTAATAACCAAAGTTGAGACTTTCACAACAATGAAGTTAAAATTATCATACCAATCTTAGAGCAGTAACATTGCATTAAAATGTAATTCATTCAAAATAGATTTGAAAGTAGTTTCTAAAACTGCCATTTCATCTGGGTTTATCTGCTAAGTTTTTAGCTTGACAGTCGCATTTTCTCACAGTTGTCTTCCATGTGGCCTTCCAAAGGAAAATCTAATTGTATGTATAGTAAAATAAAAAAAACTGAAACAAAAAAGCAATTTTTTTCCCCTTGAAATGTCTTCAAAAGGATATTTTGTGGGGTTTTTGTAATTAAGTAAACTGAATATTTAAGACAGATGTTAATCTTTTCAAGTTGCTGTTACCTCACTCCATCTGAAGACTTGTTCTCATACCTTTCAAAGCAAATAAAAAAGCCTTGGCATCAGTTTCTGATGGAACAGTATTTCCACTTGGTGCATTTTGTCTTTGAAGAGCTTTCTAAGATTGTACAATTCAATTCCTGAAGCACAGAAGATATTTTCTTCTGAGTCTTTTACAGCACCAAAAGCACAGTGAATTTAACTCATTTAATGGACATTTTCGTGGTATACCTCAGAGTTCGACAGTCAGGCATCCAATTCTTTGTTCCCTCAGTGTAGATTGTAACTGCTGTTTGGTCTTTGTCATGAACCACTAATAAGACAAACATTCTGAAGTGTTTGTGCAGCATGTCTTTCCCAGTTACTAGTGTACATGTAAAAAGTCCAGAGCATAGGAACATTGTATATTAATATTTCACTGTGTTTTTACCAGGTGGTGGAAGTCTTGTCCTTCACATGGTTAGTGATATGCTTTTAGTTGAGGTGAGCTCTGTAGAAGTGTGCATCCAGGTGGCCAGTGACGCTAGGCTTGTGTCTTTGACAAATGGGGTTAGCTAAGTGCTGATGGTTTGTGTATTGATTGTAGAAGAGGCCTTAAAAATCAACACTGGAGTAAATATATTAAACAAAACTTTCTTTCCTGTCATGTGTATCTTTATAAATGCTTGTAACAATATTGTCTGTTTTTATATTTTGTAAATAAATATTTTTGTTTGCATTTACCTTAACTTGGTTTGTGTTAAGGGTGATTTCAAAGGTCATTAGCTGACAACAGAGCATACCGTCTCCTTGGGTTTGGCAGTCCTTATTTTTGCAATACAGCAATACTCCTGTAGTGGCAGAATCCCCGTACTTTGCTCCAGGGAGTCTGAAAGGGAACAGAGGGCTTCTCTGCTTTATTTTTTAAATGTTTGTGAGGACTCTTTTTAGATGAAATGGGTTTCTTTGGGCAAGATAAGCCAGATAAGCTCCCTTACTATTGGAGCAGGATAGTGGGGGAGCGTGCTTGGATCCTCAGAAGTTTGACATATAATTTGCCTCTATGCATTATTGCCAATTTTGAAATCTGATTGTGACAATCCTGATGCAAGTCGATATTGACATTAAAAAATATGTAATTAGTTTTATTATGTTTTTTTATTCAAGTCACAGAATTAGTGATGGGAATAAGCAGTCTAAAATAGCCCTGCCTATTACATTATGAATTGTGTTAATAAAACATTATGCTCTTAATATAGTTGTTTGTGGTGGTAGGAGACGGAGCAAAAATTCTTCAGTAATTGAAGGATCAGCATGTCTCTAGAAGCCAGGGAAACTTACGAGAAAGCAGCTATACTTGAAAGTCTGAAAGTTACAGAGCTGAAGCGTTGTATTTAAGTTTAGAGTGTACACAGGTGACTATTACGCAGAGAAGCCATTGTGATCTAAAAATGCAGTCAATGCATTTGGTATATCATTGGACCTATGAACTACGTAAAAAGTGCCTGCTTTGTATTGTCAGCCTCTTCCTTCTTGCTTCAATATTTGTGATGTGTGTCTGTGGGGAAAATGGTATTAAAAGTCAGGATTGGAAAGGCAGAACTCTTGCGGAGTATAGCATGCTGAACTTGAAACTGTTTTACTTGACTAAATAATAACAACTTTTCATACTTCAAGCAGAGATTTTTTTTCAAGATCCAAAGCTGCCATCGAGTGTCTTGACATAATACAAAGCCATGATTGTCTCCAAAATGGTGACTGACCATGTGGGGAAAGTGTATGGGAAATCTAACTAACCAGGGTATCTACTAATAGGCCCCAGTCCGGTAAAGCACTAAAGTACACATGTATGTTTAAGTATGTGAGTGGTCCCAATGTGGTTTCAGTGGACTACTTGCATGCCTATGTGTATTGCTGGATTGAAGCTTTTGGTGAGTAGAATAACTTTTATTATCTCCTGAACCAGTTTCACAAACAAAACATTACAGAGTTACTTTAAGTATGTAAGGGAAACTTATTAACTCAAGAAAGTGTATATTTTAAACGCGCATTCTTTTACATACATGACTGTCATGTTAGGTGATGGTTAGAAGATCTTTTAATTCTTCTTGTGCCTTGTTTATGATCTATATTTTTGTCAGCTTGGACAACAAATAAACACTGAAGTCAGTTTCATAGACACATAGGACTTCTGGGATTTTTAAATCTGCCTTGGTCAGTGCCAGATGTTTCAGCAATCATCTTCCCAACAGAAACACTGTTTATCCCAGACAGTAAAAAAAAATCCCCTTAAATAAGATATAATAGAGTACAAAAACAATTACTCTGTTTTATGCAGTTTTAGACATTTGTGTTTGTCTTACTGTTTTTCAGCATTTGCTAAATTTTTTACCTGGTCCCTGTGACAGAGATTTTGTGGTTTAACTGTATTTTCCTGTTCAGCAGAGTCACTTTTAAATTAGTTTCAGTTTCTTCTACTGGCCCTTTACTCTTGTGTAATGTGTGAGAGGCTAAGGTTATGAGATAGTGACTAACAAAGGACAGAAATACTTCGTAAAGCAAACAAAAAAAAATGAAACTGTTAACTTACTTTATGTCTATATGCCATGTGCTGTTTTGATTATTTGGTTTCTTCTCTGCTTCAAATGGTTCTAGCCCTTTCAATCTCCTGCACGTGCTCACCTCCAAAGAAATTTTATTTGTCCCTGAGCACTGTTCTTTTTCTTCTTTCAAGGTAGAATGATCCATAAAATGCACATGATCTGAGGAACAAGGCACAAGTAATTTTACAAAAACAGCCAGAACTTGTTACATCTTTATATTCCCAAATGTTTTGTATTTCTCTTGATTGCTTTGCATATATAGTAGACTTTTGCATTCAGCTTCTGCGTTTGCTTCATATTTTTACCAGAATGATTCTGATTAGTATGTGCAGGATAGTTTCAAATGTGTTTTTCTTTTAAATATGGGGGGGGGGGGGGTGTGTGTTTGGTTTTTGGTGGGGTTTTTTTGGTGTTTTTTTTTTTAATTATTATTCTAGTTCAGCAACACAGATCTAAATAATCCATTATAAAACAGTCAATTTTATGAGCTACCAGTCTGGTTTTACATTTATACAAGTTTGTTTTAGGCTGAAGATAAAGATTTGAAACAGTAAAGCTGAATTCATGTAGTACATCGGATTCTTCTTGTAATTATTTTATACATAACCTGAAGTTTTAGTGTGACTTAATAGAAGGTTGTTCATGTGAACAGTGCTGCATGATGGCTTTTTTTCTTTAAATTCTTAACTATTGCATTTAGTTTTGTTGATTATTAAGATTCTGTTGAGCATAAAACAATACACACCAGAACTTTCTGTGACCAGAATGGTTCTTTCAAAATAATTCTTATAATATTTTGTACGTACAGATGATATTACCAGGTTGTTACACTTTAACTTCAGATTTTGTATTGGTTTATGAAAGCCCATATTCTATGTACATACCAAGTAGTCCCAGCATTTTTTTTCTCACTGCCTATTTATAGTGAAACCAAATATTCAATGTGTAAAACAACTTTGTAGCATTTGTTCTGCAACAGCTTTTTCCAGATCAGCTGGATATTACTGTGGTCTGATGTATTTTTAAAAGTAATGTTTTTCTTCCTAGGGCGTGGACATAACTACAGCTATGAATGATCGAGCAATAGCTCAGAAAAGGCTTAATGAAAACACATTTGATTTAGAGGCCATGTGCATGTTAAATCGTGCACAGGAGCAGGTATGTTGCAAATTTTCATCAGCATTTTGATGTACTTAAAGTAAATGTTAACCTTTCATACGAGTTTTTCTTACGCATTTAAGTACAGGCTTTTGGAAGCTCATTTTATCAGCATGTGGTTAAAAATTCTGCCTTTATTTTGCACATGTCGTGGTTTAAACCCGGTCAGGCAACTCGTTCACTCACTCCCCCGCTTCTTTCCCTCCCCCTGCTCCCGGAGGGATGGAGAGGAGAATCGAAAAGAATGCAACTCCCACAGGTTGAGATGAGAACAGTTTAGTAACTAAGGTATAACACAAATCACTACTGCTACCACCAGTAATAACAATGATAAAAGAAATAACAAGGGAAGAGAATACAACACCTCAGCACCAGCTGACCATTAACTCACCCCCCCAGCCCGACCAAGCACTGACCCATACCTCCTCCAACCCCACAGTGCCCTAGCCCTTCCGGGTAACTCCCCTTACATCCTGGGCATGACGTGCTGTGGTATGGAATAGCTCTTTGGTCAGTTTGGATCAGGTGTCCTGTCTCTGCTTCCTCCCGACTTCCCCTCCTCCCTGGCAGAGCATGAGGCTCACAAAGTCCTTGGCCAAACCAAAATATCAGGCCGAAAGTCAAAACACAGCACTGCACCAGCTACCAAGAAGGAGAAAAATGCCTGCTACTGCTGAACCCAGGACAGCACATCGTAGCAATGATTTTGAGGATAAGGAAACCGTGAACCATAAACTTGCTAAACTGAGTTTGGGCTTTTGGGTTAACATACAAAGATGCTCAGCTTTTCAGAATGTCTGCTTACAAATGAGTGAGCACTAAACATAAGTGAAGAATCGTTATGAAAATAAGAAGCAACAGAGAATTGCAAAGCAAAAGTGTGCAAATTTTTATTTTGGTCTTACATTTGATTTTTATTTTGTAGATTGATGCCTGGGCTCAATCAAACTCCATACCTGGCCAGTTCACAGGAAGTACTGGAGCACAGATATTGTCCTCGGATGAGCTGACCAACAGTGGTCCCCAAGCATGGATTAGAAAGGTAGAAGTTATGCAGACATACTTGTCTAACTATCATATTTTAAATAGTAGAAGTATCGGAAAATGCACGAAATGTGCCTTAAAAACCTATGGTAATGCATGTGTCAAATATAATAGGTTGAGTTAAATCATTGTGTTTGATATAGATACATGCTGCTGCTGTGTCTCTTTTGTTGTGCATTAAGGTATTGTTCATGACATAGGGTACTTCAATAAGGTGTGCGTCTGGTATTTGAGTCAGATTGGTTCATACATACCTTACGCTGAAATGACATTTATAATAACGTTATGGTTGCAGTGGTAGGTCCATCGCTACTTTTACAGGATTGGGACAGATCAGGCAAGGTTTGATCCTGATGTTACTGAAGTCAGTGATGTTTTGGCATCAACTTCAGTGAGCTAAGTACCAAACTGACATATTGTTTGACTTGGTTTTGTCTGATGGCTACTTGGCCTCTGTTTGTATCACCAGGTTTTTCTGGAACCCAAAGATTTAAAGTATTTAACAGTTGCAGTTTGGTTAATAAGTTAAATGTCACCCTACAGTGAAATAGTTACCTCTTACTGCAGAGTAATAGTGGCATTTGGAGTGTGGTGCGTCATACATACATGCGTTTTATAAGTTTAATAATTCATGCTTCATCTTTGAAAATGAATACCAAACTGGTTCTCTTTCAAGAAGTAGAACTGAGGAATTCAAGCACTGTCTATCTTTCATGCAAAAAGAACGAGATTACTTGCAAGATTGACTGCTGTTACGTAGTTGAGTATATGTTGTATCTGCTTGTCCTTCTGGAATGCAGTGTTAAGACAACCCTCAAAACTGGTAGGTTAGATTTGAGGCTGAGGCAGAATTTTCCATAAAACTTGGTGTAAACTGAACACAAAAGTCTGGAGTTACAACATCCTAAAAATAGAAATATTTTTACCAAGGTTCACTAACTTATTTTTCCACTTTATATAGCCGAGCAGTACAGAGAGCCAGGCAACACAGGGATCCAAGTTACTTGCTAGATGGGAATCTTTTGAGCTTTTCTCAGTATTAATACAGAACATACGTGACAAAGTCTTATTTTAACAATTATTAACTTTTTAGATTGTAACCAAATGTTGGCTGTGATTACAATAATTGTCCCTTGCAGAGGAACTTAGAAATATAAAGCACTCAGCAGGGATGCGTTGGTGAGAAAAGAGCTTTTCCACCCTGAGGCTTGTGAAAGAGATCAGCAAGCGTGTGAGGGTTCTCCCTTTCTGCAGTACCTTGAGTGGGTTCCCAAGGCAACAGAAAGGGAGCATCTCTGATCATCTCCTTCTCAAGCCGCCTCATCCTGTTTTCATTCCTTAAGTTTCTGTGGTGGTCTTCTGTGCCTTACAGTAACAAGAGTGTACACTAACAAAAAGTAAGTGGAGGAGGCAAGTGAGTTTTCCCTCGGTCTTCTAACTTTTCACTCTGTGATTGGCTTTAAAAATAAAATCAGAAAAACCCCAATGAACTGAACAAAAACCCCAAACAAACCCAAAACAAAAATCCAACAAAATGCTTTATAGAGAGAAAGTGAGAGAAGACTCTGGTCTCTGGCTTGTGGGCATGACTGCTGTGAGGAACAGAAGCATACTGGAACATTTTGTTGAATCTAGAAATAAGAGTGAGCAAGCAGAAACACTTCTGTTGTTCCCATAGCTGTAAGACTGTAGTGGTTTGCAGTAGTAGGCGTCCTCCCTAGCAAGCATCATGTGGTTTGTCAGAAAGGAGGCTGCTACTGGAAACAAGAAGAGTTTGGTGAAGATCAGGACTCAGCCCTCTTTCCTGCTCTGGCATTCCTCAGCTTGACTTCTTTTGTTCTTTCCAGGTTCCATATTTGCACGCACATTGCCATCAAACTCATGAGATGACAAGTAGATAAGTCACACACCTTCTGTGTATTAGGGGCTGCACAAGACTCAACCTGTGTTTTTAGGAATGGTGGGTCCTGTGAAAGCCTTCACAAAATTTAGGTTCGGTGAATTTAATGTGGACTTACAGCCTATGGTTAGAGAATGATTTCACAGAATAAAGTGAAGTAGGGATAATGGGTTATGAATGCATGTTATCTTTCTCAGTGTCACGAATGCAAACCAACCATGAAATGCAAAGTACAGGTTGCATTTTACTTAGGCATTTGAAGTTCTGTAACTTAGTTCCTGGTAATTATGCAGTGTAGCACTGGAAAGTCAGATTTGTACTCCCTTATTTTTTCGTCCTAAGAAAATGCATTTTATCATTAAAAAAAGACCCCCAAACCAAGAAACTAGTGTTATTTAATTTTTCACCTGCTAGTGGGCTGTGGAGTTTGTTAGGTATGTTTTTATGAGGGGAATGGCTTTAAACTGAAAGAGAGTAGTTTCAGATTAGATACTGGGAGGAAGTTCTTCTCTGTGAGGGTGGTGAGGCACTGGCACAGGTTGCCCAGAGAAGCTGTGGCTGCCCCATCCCTGGCAGTGTTGAAGGCCAGGCTGGATGGGGCTCTGAGCAGCCTGGTCTAGTGGAAGGTGTCCATGCCTATGGCAGGGGGTTGGAACCAGGTGAGCTATAAGGTCCCATTCAACCCAAACCACTCTGTGATTCTGTGTTGTGTGTGTAAATTAATGCATGTTTCTGACTGAAGATGTTGTTTACTGAAAGCATTTTGCTTGAGAGATTGTCATAAGCAATTGCCATAAGGGGACTTGTGGGCCAGCAGAAACAGAGCCCATGTCAGCTTGCTATTTGTGTATCTTTAAACAAAGAACATGTACAGACATTGTGCTTGACAGATAATCACAAAACTAGACTGATGTAGGAGAAGAGCAGTGTCAGGAGGGGAGAAAAACTAAAGTATTTGGGGAACTTGTTTTGATAAGCGCTGTCTTCACTTTGCATTTCGTGGATTTCAGCTACTTTTTGTTGTTTAAAAATAACTTTGGAGAAGGTAATATGTACTCAAACCAAAATATGCTTGCAATTTCAGTTCAATCTCAAATAAAGTTCTGAGGGAATTAGTTACCAAAGTGGTTAACGTGACATACTTGAGTGATCGGCACACCAATTAGAAGTATGGTTTGTTTTTCTAAGTCATGTGTTAATTCATGCTGTTCATGGGCAGGGTTCTGAGCAGTACTTAAGGAATAATATGTTGTTAGGTTTCTTGTATCATGAAAGCAGATTTATGAACAGTATTATCTTTTTCTTTTGAAAAGTGGCTTCTGTTTCAGTTTATCGTCATTGGTGTAATCAGTTCACAAATATGACTGACTTATTCTGGAGGTTGCTTCTTGTTTTTGTATTTTTTTGATGTTTTCTTATGAATATACTATGCTGCTGAATGAATGCTAAATCAGAGGAAGGGGTCAAATACTTTTCCCAGACAAATTCTATTTGAGGTCTACTTATTCAGACTTTCCCAAACTTCACCACTTGTTTCTGGATTTATCAGCCTAATTCTCCCACCTAAACTTTATCCCCAGACAAGGTTTCTGCAGTGTTTTATGTACCCGGGATAGTGTCCGAGATCTGTTTAATTCAGTTGGGCTAAAGCATGACATGCAGTTTTACTGTGACCATTAGAATACTCTGTGTTAGCTAAAGTTACGAAAACTTAAAGCATTCTTCCATTCTTCCATGGTTACAGCAGATGAGCAAACTCATGCTAAAGATGGATGTAAAACTAAGTCTTGTGATCGTCACTTGCAGAAGGACTGCTGACTTTCTCACAAGGCCATTTGTATTGCTATTGCCTTAAATGACACCATGAGCCTTCATTGGGAGTGAAGGCCATGTGGCAAGGCCAATCAACTATGTTAGTTACATTGGACTGGCTCCCTGTTCAACCCTCAGAATGGGGATTTTTTCCCCACTATCTTCAGCTTGCTTTCTACTGACTGTATGCAAACGCTGCGAACAGAAATCCTGAAGCTGATTGCTTCAGGATTTCAGGAGTGTAGTTTTTGTAAGGCATTTGATAGCATTCTTCAGAAAGGTATTCTTTCTCTTCTACTGGGGAAGGAATGTGGCTGCTCCTAAAAGTGCCAGTTTATTTAATGGAAGATTCAGCTACTTTGCAAAAGTTTTGCCAAGGATAGATGCTTGTTCTGGTGCTTGGCTTTGAGGAATTTCTCAGTTAGTCTTAAAATAATCTTTAAGACAGCCCATTGTACTATAGCTGAAACTGTCCACCAAGTGCCTTTAAGGCTTTTTTGTCTTCTGCTTAATGAACTATTGCTCAAAAGAAATAAACATTATGACACAACTTGTATTTTAGTGCATGTCAGCAGTGTGAGAAGGAATGGGTATTTTCTTTTTACAGAGGAGAAATTGATGATGTGTTTTAAGATCTCTCAATTATGGCTTTCATATTTTGGTTGCTGTGGGTGCTGTTTCATGGATTGTTTAGTTCAGTGCTGTGTACTGTCCTTTCTCCAGAGACAGCTGTTGCAGTTAAATGATGGCAACTGTCCAACTTGCATTGTGTTTCAGAAAAAAAAAAAGTGTAAAGTTATCTTTCAGGTGTGATTTTTTTATCTGTGTGTGTGTGTGTGTGGTTTTCCTTATGTAAGCCCTTAAATGCCAATTCAGGCACTCCTGTCCCCAAAAATCTGTTGCTCTAACATAGCTTTAAAAGAGGAATAGTTTTTAAATTGGTAAAAAACCCTCTTACGTGATCAGGTTTTACTGTGTAGCCTTCTTTTTAAAGCAAGTGTTGGCACAAGAATGTGGTTTATTGATTGTCTCCATCTACTGGCAGAATGGAAGTGTACTTTATTTGGCTGACCTTCCATGGAGTTTAGATAGAGATAAAAAGATGAGAGGAGTGGTACTGAATTTTCATGCAGACTTACTCAAATTGAGATTAGTGAATGAAAGAGAACAATTATTTTGTAAATTTTTATTTTATTTTGTTGTTTTGGGGTTTATTGTATTAGAAACTCTTCAATTTGATATCCTCCTATGGGCCAGATCTGCAAGGGTATGGAGCTGCTGAAGAGTTTTGTAATTTTTAAAACTGAATAGAAATTTAGATCTTGTTCCAGCTCTTGTTAACATTTCTACTGCAATTTTAACGTTTTCAAATGTACTTACAAAGACAGCTCTAGTTGTACCCATACTCTGTTAAGTCATGGGCTGAGGGAAGTTATCTGTCACTGCATTTAGTTAAAGATAATTGTACAGGTGACATTAGAGGTTTATGTTCAGTTTATTATTTAAAACCAAACCAAAACTGAAAGAACACTTTCCTTCTGCTGCAAGCCTTCTTTGCTTCTTCAGTAAGCTGAATCAAAGTGGGCTTCTGACTCCTCTCATTTAGGAGAATTATTTCATTTAGCCTTCTAGTGTGATGTACAAGTACAGCTATTCTGTACTGAAACAAGTCTTTCATTTCTAATCCCTTGTTGTCTTGCTTCTGTTGTATATGTTGAAGACTCAGCATAGTGTGAAAAATTCCTGCTGAAGTTACCAGATAGGGCTCCGAATTCACACATTAGAAGAGGTGTTTTTAATAAACTCCACTCTGGGATTTAGAAGACTTTTTATTTCCAGGATTTGGAATTTTATTCGGGCTCTGGTAATTCCTATGTAGGAGCTCAGGGCTTTGATTTTTAACTAAGAATAGCAATATTTAGGCTCTAGTCTTTCTTTTCTACACAACTACTAAATGTACTATTAGTACATTTACAGGTGTGATGAAAAAACTGTGTAACATGAAAATGACCTCATCTGGAAATGGCAATTTTATCATTTGTGAACTGAATACACGCTGGTGGTAATGAAACAGATGTTTATATTGAAAATTCTATCACTGCAAAGCAGGTACAAAAGAGGAATCGGAACCCAGGGTGACATTGACTGGGGTTTGTATCATTCTCGGCAAGGTTACCCTTTTCTTATGAGAGGTTCCTGGAAAGGAGAGGGGAGGATGAAAATGGAAGTAAGTAAAAGCCATTCTAGGTATATAGATTGAGGCAGTTCATATCAAAGAAACTGATTTTGTACGCACACACACTGCATGGTCTGCACCAATCAGAAAAAGAAGTTGAACTGGAGAGGTGCATGTAGCCTCTCTACTTTTCCATCAGACCACTTTGTTAAATGCAGCATCCGGTTACGTGATTGCTAGGTGTTTACTGTTTAATAGGGAAATATTTGGAGAAATTCTGCCACAATCTTCCACAATTATTATTATTTTTGAAAATTTTTTAACACCATGGGGATTACACACATGCTTCAGTGTGTGTCAGTTGCCAGTTTGAAATCCCCTTGATATCCTTAGTCTCTGCAAAAGTAAGACTTCTGGTTTTCTTTTTGTACGTATCAAGACCAAGGATCTATCAGTCCTGTGTCCAAACCTGGGAAATGCTTACTTTTGCAAGCGCAATTCAAAATGAAGAAGAAAAACCCCAAGCAATGTTCTATTAATTTGCTTTGATAGTAAGTAACATTTTCACAAAGATACTAGGCATTGTATCATCTAACCTACTATGCGAAATAACGGATGGACTTATCAGTGCCAGTGTGTAAACTTGTATATTTTAAGGCAAGCAATTTTTTGCTGTGATGGAAATGATTGACTTACTTACTTGGGTCAGCGGGGGGGGCAGAAGAGAGTTGATAGTTCACAGAATAACCTGTGAACTTTCACCCCTCTATATGGAAACTTGTTTCAGGGTCAAATCCTTGTAGCTGCCTTCTTGCCACGGTCAATGCCAGCCCTACTATTCACAACACTGCGGCCATCGAGGCCTAGGTACGTAAACATTTAAGGAGTTTTTAAAGTTCTTTACATCAAAACAGATTTTTAAGATTTCTGTTTATAAGCTTTCACCATTTAACAGCTATATGTAAATGATGATTTGAAAGAATGTGAAGACTTCTCTACTGATGCTAAACTGTGTGGCTAAGCGCCTTTAAAAAAAAAAGACGATAAAAACCTGTATGTTTCATGTGGATTTTCAGAGTAGAACTTGAATGTGCAACTGCTGTATAATAAAATGGGGAAACTTTTATATATATATATATATATTTAAAATACGCCTAAACACTCTGTGAATGTCATTACTAAATGTGCTTGTATTTTGTTCAGTAACTAGGTACACTTGGCACGCATGTTGCCAGTTAAACAGTTAACACTGCCTCCTTTCACGAGATGAGAAGAGATGCATTGGAACCAAAGTAGCGTGTTTAAAACTGGACGGTTATCATTTTAATATGTCTGCAAAGGGTCACCTGCCACTTTTGGATCACATTAGAATTTTCTTAAGTTGTTCTTTTTTGCAAATATTGATTGTGTCTCGTGTGTCTGCGTGAATTCTGGTTGCTGCCAAATGTTAATGTATATAAAGCTAAGGTGTATGTTTGTTTTTTTTTTTTATTTAATTGAGTCTGTGAAAGGTTGTTAGAAACATTTTTTTGGAAGCTTCCCCTTAAGTTTTAAAACCCCAGTGCTAACTTTAGGACTTGTTTTACTTTTCTTTTTCTGGATAGGATCAGTTCTTAAGAGCAGCCCCTGTAACTGGAGGAATGGGAGCTCAACTGATGAGAAAAATGGGCTGGAGAGAAGGAGAAGGGCTTGGGAAAAACAAAGAAGGCAGTGTTGAGCCAATTATGGTGGACTTTAAGACAGACCGGAAAGGTAAGCCCTTCTTTACGTGTCTTGTGGCAGTATAAACTTCTCATGTCTGTTTGGGAGATGGGCAAAATAACTTCGAAGTAGTAACCCTTTTCTGGGTACAACACCACTGGAAAAACTAAAAGAATGGCGTAGGTGATTTTGGTACAAGGTTTTCATGCCTTGGATTATATATATAGGCTTTGTCTTTATGCTTGTTTACTCTTCAGACGTTCTTTAACTTTCCCTAACCATCGCCCTCCATTTTGAAAGTGCTTCTCAGTAAATTAGGGATGTGCTTCAGTTGGATGCTTGGAGAAGGCATGGGGCAGGGATATTGTGGAAAAGCCACTGTGGTTGGGAAACTTTAATATTTTAAATAGATCACATCTAATATCAAAGCATGAAAATACTTTGAATTACGGATTTATGTTAGCTTTTATCAATGCTCATGATTGAGCTTGGAAGAAAACAAAGCATATAAATGCAAATGTTGTGAAGTTTGTTTGCAGAGATGCTGCTGGAGGAATCTTCAAGTGTCAACAGGATAGTTCTTAATACAGAGGTAGTTCAGTACTGCTCAGGTGACAGCAGTGAAAATACAGTTCAAACATTGAAATATTAAGCACGGAGAGGTAGAAAATGAGGAAGGCCTATGTTAGGAAAATATTCATTGCTTTCTAAATCCTAAAGACCTTCTAGCAGCATAATGTGGGTTTTATAAATGGAGAAATGCAACAGTCTCAAAGTACTGAACACAGTAATACCGACTTCGCTTTTCAGCTGGTTTTCTTCTGTGCAACGTCTCTGTTTAAAGAAAGGAAAAAAAGATAACCCGGTGACAGAGTGGTTGTCAAGAAAATCATTTTTGACAAGTATTTTGTTACTGTTACTTAGCTACTGTCGTCTTTGTAAATGTTGTCTTGGAAAGTTCTCGGTGCTGGCAAGAGTTCCTTCAACTTAGTTTGATTTATAGCAGTCAGAGAGAAGAAACTGAGAACAGTGTCAGTATTATTTTCCCAAACAGCCTGTGTAACATGGTGATGGATTTTTGTGGTGAGGAGGGAAGAAGGGTTAGCTCTGTTCATCATGTTGTTTGCTTCTCACATGAAAGAGGCAGTTTTGCTGCCCAACCTGTGAACGTTCTGAACATTAAAAACATTTTAGTGAGACGCAGCTCATGTTGCAGCTCAATTTTCCAGTTACAGAAGTGTGTCCCAGGATCCTCATGTTGTTCCTAATACAAATTTCCTTAGTGCCTGCAGAATTTGTTACCAGAGTTTCGAGCACCAAGCCCTAAGGCCTGAAACGGGTCAGGTCCTTGTTGTGCTGGGCATTCTGTAACAGGTAGTTTGCTTTTTCTTCTTCAGAACATTCAGTCTTCAATAACAATTAAAAACGTTTAGTGGAGTTAAAGGATGCCTCTTCCTGGCCTGTGATAGCTCTATCTGAAAATACAGATAACCTTCGTGATGGCTGCGCTTTGCTTGAATTTAACTGGTTTTCAGTTAAATTCAGCTCGAATTTAACTTGATTATCATCCTGTATGCAACCTAATCTCATCGTTTCCACCAAAATAAAAAATTCTAAACATGTTCTGTGTTGATAAAGAATTATCTTTAAAGTTGAGCCAGCCAAGCCTGTAATACAGGGAGGCAGTTTGCATTGTGAAGAGGCTGCATGTTTCATGCATTACAAAGAAGCAGCTGAAAGGTGATTGTACATTTGTATTGAGTAGGTAAAAAGCTTCTTCAAACATCAGAGTTTTTTGATGCTTAAATGTATAAAAAATAGTATTTTTTAAAGTTTTTTCTAGTGGTTTAAAGGCAAATCAGGAATTTTTAGAAGGAATCTGTCTGTTACATTAAGTATCCTGGTTTTGTTTCGTAAGGAATGTTTTGTCATGTTTTTAGAACTCATCACCAAATAAAATACTATTCCTAGATGCAGGACCAAGCAGTTTGCTCAGAGTTACTCAGTAAGCTGCACTAGGACACAAACCAAAAGGTTGTCTGTCTGCCTTTGTTCTAGCTTTCTCTTAGACCCTGCTTTTTCCAGGCACTGAGCAAGATCTGTAGTTCTGTCACAGGCAGCATTGAGCCAAACCCTCCTTGGCTTTGATATCAGCCAGTAAATTGCTGGTTGTCTGTGTTCAAAGAACCTTGGTCTCCATCAGCGGGGCTTGGCGGAATCCACTGCTTTTTTGACAGTCCCTCTTGAGGTACCAGGGACAAGATGCAGAAGACAAGTGTCAGTGACTGTGAGTGAGGGAGACACAATATTAATCAGAGAATGACATGAGGTTTTTTTCTTTGGAAATCTTTGGTTACTTTGGATATAAAATTCTGTAAGGGGAAGAAAAATAAACCTTGTTTCAGTGATTCTTGTCTGTGAGGGTTTCATACCACTTGAAAAGCCCTTACTCAGGAGCTGCGTGAATATTAGGATGACAGTCTGGTCAGGAGAGAATGATTTTCTTCAAAGGCAAACCAAATCAAAATGCCAGCCAAAAAACCCTAAAGGAACAGGAAGAATCTGGAAACAATTGCAGTATCTCCCTGTCCTTATTCACCAAAGCCAGGAACAGAAACAAATAGAGGTAAGAAACAAAGTAGTATTTGAAGGACTGCAGTCCGAGAAACTGAAAACTGGGCAGGTATTTTTGGTATTTAAGGTAATGGCATGTAAAGATGTAAAGAAACTTGAGTCACTGTATGAGCATGGCATGGTTACTGGCATTTGATATGTTTTTAGCAACTGTTGCACTTAATTTCTTATTCTTGTAAGCTTTCAAAAAGAAAGAGACTTCACAGTGACTTTCATTGGCACTTGTGCTCTTTGTGTTGTCTTGTGGCCCAGTTGCACGCTCTTCTATTTTATATTCAGATGCAATTGAAAGCACGGAAACTGGGCTGTGAATTTGCACTTAAAGGATTTGAATACTGATAAATGAAGAGAGCACATCAGGATGGTGCTGTGTTTACTTGTATTGCAAAAGAATGTGCTAGGTTGCACTTCTTACTGTTTAGTGGAAATACTTCAACTGCTGAGCGTGTCAGAGGCAGACTGTTACGGTAGTGGATGGCTTTTGGGTTGCACAAAAACACTGAAGGAGAGAATGTTCTTAAACTTGTCTCTTGTTCAGTGTTCCAAAGAGGGCATTGAAAACCAGGTGTTTCCTGACTTGCATGAGACTACTCAGAGTTATCTACTACCTGGCTTGTTCAGAGTCTTACTAGAGCAGTTGAGAAGAGTGTTATGTGTAGTAAGTATGAAGGGGAAAAAAAGTTGGGTGAAAGGGAGGTTTGAAAGACTTCTGAAAAGACCATTGAATGGTGTTCAGACTTCACCTCCACTGAGTACATGTTATTGCTTTACTGCTGGTAATACAGAAGTCGGGTGAGGATCAGAAATGTAAACTTTCTTGTGTTTTGTTTAGGGCTTGTTGCTGTGGGAGAGAAGGCACAGAAGAGATCTGGACATTATGTTGTGATGAAGGATCTTTCAGGTGAGATTTTTGCTTTTCTTAAAGCAGTCTCATTTAAAATGATGGCTTCAGTAGTGGCATTGAAATTTCAAATACGTTTTTTCTTCAAGGTAAACATCCCGTTTCTGCTTTGATGGAGATCTGTAACAAAAGAAGATGGTCACCACCTGAATTTGTGTTGGTGGATGACAGTGGGCCTGATCATCGCAAACATTTTATCTTTAAGGTGCGTGTGAGTTTCTTTGTTTGCTGTTGGTCTTTTTGTTAAAGGTGATGTAAATTCTTGCTTTTATTTGCATATAAACCATCTTACGGGTAGTTGAGGACTGCTGAGCAGTGTCTTTGCTAAAATTTCTAAGTCATGTTTCTGCAATGGCCAGATCAGACCTCTGAAGTTTATTAGTCTGTAAATCCATCAAGAAACACACTGTTCCACTTCCTAGTAAAATTATTGACTCATGTGGTACTATATTCTTGCTGTTTGCTTGCAGGCGTGGTGTTGAACCTTACTGTTGTAAAGGCAGCGAGCAAGATTGGTTTGTCCTTCAGTTATCTTACAACATGAGCGTTCTTTTTCACATCATACCCTGTATTAGCAGTTGATGTTCAGAAATGATGATGCTTATAGACCAGGGGTGGATTTTGACTACCCCAAGAGGGATGTGTAGGGAAGGTGCTTAAAGGAGGAGCTGCGAAGGGCTGCCTCAGAGTGGTGGTTAAGAGGCGCTTTGTAATGCTTTCTTTTCCCATAAACAGGTGAGAGTCAATGGAAATGAATACAGGCCTACTTTTGCCAGCCTTAACAAGAAGCATGCTAAAGCCACAGCAGCAACTGCGGCTCTCCAAGCGATGGGACTTGTACCAAAGGAAAGCATGGTTAATACCACCATGTTTAGGAGTGCCTCACACCGCTAGATATTGTTTTTTATATTGACATTATTTCAGATAATTTTACTCTGCACAAAAATGGTATTTGCCCTTTCATGTTGTAAATACATTGGCAATTCCCACGTTGTAAAAACTGTACAGACACCTTCAGGTTTTTCTTTTGTACCATCAAAATGTATTTAAATCATACTTAGTTTTTGGTATGTTTATATTGTTTACATTAGTGATGTAATTATTTCTTAAATGACTAAATCAGACGACAGACTCTGGAGGCATCAGTAATTGAAACCCTTGTTTTAAAGCTCGTGCGATTCCTCTTCAATACGGAATGTTAACACTTTCATACTGTTTTGTACGATGCTGCAGTTTTCCCTGGTCTCGGTAAAGCTATCTGTGCACTTTGCCGGCAGCTGGTGAAGGTCACCCGCTCACCCATGGCTGGTCGAGGCTGGTGCATGCTGCCGGATAGGTACCGGGCAATGCCGCGGCCCCGCGAGAAAGCACGTGGTGGTAGCCCTGTTGTACAGTGTTAGCACCGCGGCTGCTGTCTGTGTTCAGTCCAGGGTTGGACTTGGTGGTGCACTGCAGCTGGCCCCGCAGCCCATGCTCCAGGATGTACGTGATTTAGGCAGAAGACATGCACTCGGAGGGACGGCAGGAAGTCCAGCAGTGGATCCCATGAGACTCGCGATGTGAAGGTGACTCTCCCTGCATGTTCTAAGAAGGGAGATGATGGAGTTGTCTATTCCAAACAAATTAACACACTGCCTGATGTTGATTGTATGATTTTGTGGTTAATGTGAATTTTAAACTCTTAACAAATCTACAACTGGATTTGGGGGGGGGGGGGGGAGGGAAGGGATAGAATGACGCTTAAATTGTTGTACCCAACTTGGTCAATAAAAGCAGCACAAGTTCATAATCTTAATCACTGGTCAGTAAGCAGTAATTCAAGTGTCTGCCAAGTTGACTTGTGGAAGAAGGGCGCAGTGTAAGAGTATGCTGAAGATCACCAATAACTGTTAGAGCTGCAGGGTCACTTCTGGTTGCTTTGGAGTATTACCAAATTAATTCCGTGGGCTTCCACTTTCCATAATGGTACTCTGCCCTCAAGGAGAAAGCCTGATCCAGAGTTCGGGCAGTTTGACAAGGGAGAGGATGTACAAAGCTTTTCCTTCTTTTACATTTCTCCCCCCCCCCCCCCCCCCCTTCTTTTTTCCCCCTTTAATTTAAGTGTTAGTACTTGATCTGTGATCACTTTGGATTGGAAAGGGCATTGCACACCTCTGTCTGGATTTGTCTGAGTTATGATCAGGTTGCCAGGATTTATGGACTTCTGCAGCTCAGGTGCTTATTTCAGAAAAGTCTTTTTGAGGTTTCTTTGTATTACACCCCCTGAGCAGAGCCTCGTCTGGGATAGGAACAAAACACAGTTTGTACACAGCAAGGCTGCGCTCAGGCCTTAAAGCGTGTGAGTTTCTCCATGGTAATAGGAACACAGAGGTGAAGAATTACTAGTACCTCTTCCACAAAGTAAGATGACCTGTGTGTATTCTGCCAACTGTTAAAGAACAAGGTGTCTTTCTGTGCCCTGAAGGGACAAGGGTCATGTCTTATGTACAGCAGAGAAATGGTGTTTGGTTGTTGACTGCCCACTTCCAAAAAATAAAGACCCTTACTCGTCTGTCAAAGTGCTCTAGGCCTAAGTTAATTTTCATGAACATAATTGTCTGTAATTAAAACTTTTTTCCCTTTGGCTTCTCGCCTTCAGTCTCTGACTAAATCTTTGGAGATTTCCTCGCCGCATTTGCTGCACTCCTTGGAAGGTGTGTATAAAAATAATAGAATATGATGGTACAGCAGTGGAAGGATCCACCCCTAGGAGAAGTGGGTGTTGTATGGGTCTTAGCTCAAGTCGGGCTTGTTGATGTATGACTTAAGAGTAATTAATGGGGGATGTGGGAGCAGCTCTTAATCAGACTTTTGTGTAAATGTCTGGTTTGACAGAGCTGAAGCAGTTGAGATGTTGATTGTTCTGTTCACTCTGTCCATGGTGTTCATGTCAGCACTGGTGTCACAGCTGTGCAGCATCACATCTGGGAACATAACAATCTCTTGTACCTGTTGCTTTGCCTTTTTTAGGTCTGTATTCCCCATGTATAATGTAAAGACATGTTACTGCACAGCAGCAAGGAGCAGATGAATTTGGTCCCAGTGAAGACTCCATTTAAAAAATAACTATTAAGGAAAGTTCTGGATTTCACGCCTTAAAGATGTGGTGCTGTACATGGATTTAACCTTTGGTCTTAAGGAAGACTTGTGAAAAAAAGATAACTAAGGTCTGTAATGCCCTAATTATGACAAGCTCTTGATTTTGAGGCTTCTGTTCTAGTTCAGTTCCTTGTTGTTTAAGATGGTCTATGGATCTAAAGCTAGTGCAGCGATGTGCTTCTGTTAAATCTGTAAATTTGAATTGGTTTGAGTGTTCTTTGCATGCAGGAATAGATAAGTAGTGATATATTAAAAAGAACAACTAGGAAAAACTCTCTTGGAACCTGGTTATTTGTGCAGCACTTGAGCTTGAAGGGGATTAGCCTGTGACTCCTCCCAGCTCTGGCTGCGGGATTTCCTTTTATTGTAGAATTCTTTCCCTAGAAGTAACTTCTCTTGAAGGTGTTTCTGCGCCTTCCCTGTCACACAAGAGGGGAGCTTTTAGAAACAGTCACCTGAGGACTTGTAGCCGGCTCCCACAGGGACAGTTTCTTTGGATTCTTCCTTCCCATTTGTAGTTTTTAAATAGTTGGGATTGGAGGAGCAGGAAGAAGGCCTAGTGCCTGTACCTTGGAAAAGTTGGAATTGCCTCTCCCAAATGAAGGCCAGGTTAATGAAATGTTACTCACTGGGACAGGTTAAATAAATAAATCTCGCTGCTCTACACGTGCCTGAGATAATGGTAGGTAGTACTTACTGAACATACCTGTAGGTGGGGTGGGCTAATGCCAGAGCTTTTCTAGGGAAGATTCCCTAGTGCCAAGTATGTGTTGGGAGCAGGACCGGGAGCAGTGGGTGCATGCTGCTGAAAGGGCAGGCAAATCTCTTGAGTGAAAGCCAACAGTTCAGAGTACCAAGAGGCACTACAGCACACGATAAAGAATTCAGTTGTAGATATTTGAAGTTGCACAATTTTAGACTACCAGAATGTAACTGTGATTCAAGAATGTTAAGTGCATGCTAGATGTGAAAATACAAACTGAAACAAATAGTACTTAGCGACAGGCTCTAGTCCACATACCAAAATGGGCATTGGCTCAATTAAAATTGCCTTCCCATAGAGGCAACTGCAGAACTGGTTTTCCCTGTTATTTTCAGTAACATGTTCCATGTGCTAACACATACTCTGTAGGCCTGTTCCTCAAGCACAGACTGGGAAGATGCTGCCCAGTTCAGAACTGGATGGCGGGCTCTGAGGTCAGGAGCAGCTCTCAGAGAGGCTCACCCCCGGTACAGCAGGGAGGCTCAAGAGAGACCTGGATGAAGCCTCCTGTTGCTGTTTTAGAATCCCTGGTCAGTTCTGAGGTGGTGAGCAGAACAGTACCACAGTGAAGATAAGGGTAGCTCACCACATGGCCCAAGCACCGCTTTGTTTTCTGTGCACAAGCACGATGTTCTGCATACGCCTCTTCAGATTTAGTGTTTGCTGCTGCTGAAATCTGATCACCTAAATAGCTGTGTAAAAAGTGACATACCTCATAAATAACAGCTCTCAAGTGAAGCAGACTGAATTCAACCTACTATTGCTATGAACGTATGTCAGCAGCCCCCTTCTGGCTCTCTGTTATCGTACAGGTGCCACAACTATTTACTCCTCTAATTTGTTTGTACAAGTGGCTCTTTAAAAGCCTAGTTAGCTTTAATGTGAGCGTGGGTATGGGAATACCAGCTAGCTATGCCCAGCAGTCCTGAGGAATTGAAACCTTTTAATGCAATCCTGCTGCAGCCAAAACACTTGTGTCCATCCAGCTTTCATCTGTCTTTGTGGAGTTGAGAGTGGACTCGCTCTAAAGCAAGAGGTGCAACATACCCAGGTGCAGCTACTGAGCTCCTGGCAAGGTGCTGTGAGCAGTCCTGGAAGGAGGGGGGGAAGGCTGTGCCAAGAATTCCGCATGTCCAAAATGGTTACACAGAGCAGTTGCCACACATCTGCATGACATGAGGAATACAGACCTTCTGGCCACAAGTCAGACCAATAAAACAATCATGTTTTATCCAGTTTTATTTAAAAAAGGCTTTCTAAAATACAAAAGCAAATGTCCAAGGCCTTTTCATTCATTTCCTTTAGAAGTCCTTTGAAGTGTTTTATGCGATAGTTGTCTGTGTTGTGCAGCTAGATCGTATCCCTACCAGTACCACATGGGTGCTGCCTGTGTAGATGCACGTGAACGAAATAACAGCAACTGCACGCTTGAGCATTCTCTCCCATTAAATGGGACTAGCATACCTAGGACTTCCAGGTATAAGCATAATCCTTCATTTCCAGAAATCGGATGGAAGATTTTCTCAATGTTGGACGCTGACTCAGTTGATCCAAAGTCTTGGGATGCAGTCCACATGTAGGAAGATCTTTGTGTACCGTTTCCTGTGGGAATTTACATGAAGAGGAGGGACACGGCATAGGTATTTGTTTGAAGTACCTGCAGTTCTAAATGTTCATTTGTGTACCTCTGGGGAACTCCAGAAAAGCTGATTTCCTGGATTATTCCATTTCTAAGGGAGGGACAAACCCTGTGGACTGCCAGGTGGTGATCACAGGTAGTTAGGTGTAAACCCATGTGTTAAGGGGAAGTTTTATGTCATTCTGTGTCCTACAGTTTGCAATAAAGACACTATTCCTAACAGGAAAGATTGTCGGTGCTAGTTTCCTTACCTCACTCAAGGCAGGGCACGCGCCATCAAGATCAGCGTTAAACACAGCAGTGGGCTCATGCGTATAAAATACACCAGAGAATGCTCCCCCCTGGGCAGCCTTGAGCAGCATGGTCAGTGCATGCAGAGAATGAGGCATGATGGGGCCCACGATCTCCAGGCTGAATATGTTCTCGTATGCCAAGCGAACCCTGGCTTTGGCATTTATACTTCGAGCCTGAGGACAAAACCACATAGGATTAGTTCTTGACACACCAAATCAAGCCCTAATTTTAATTTATTTCAATACTGCAATGCTACAGTCCCATTAAAGGCTCAAAATACTTCTCAGTATTGTCAACTTACTGTTCAGTACATGAGCATGAGGCTTTTACTGTCTTTCTAAGAACTCCTAAAACATACTGACTGATACGCAGGAATGCAATACAGCATTAACTGCTGAAGAACAGGGAGAACTGCCCTCTGGTGGGCGAAGACTGCACTACCTCTATTAATAGCATCTCCTTTAGTACCCACCACCTCCCTATAGTAACAGATGGTGAGCCAATGGTTTAGAGGCTCCCTCCATGCAAGCGATACCTCTGATAGCTGGAGAACCCGTAAGATCTTAGGAGAACATTTTAAGAACTATTTTAGTATTTGAGAAGTCCATTTAATCCCTTACTTATCGGGGTATGAAGAACAGAAACTTGGGTATTTCAGTTTAGCAGCACAGATCGATGTGGACAAAGACTGAGGAGGCAGTCTGTATTGCAGCCAAAATGCTCCCTTGGGTTGTAGCAACAAAAATTACTCTGCAGTACCTGAGGGAAACTATACAAAGCCAGTGTCTGTTCTACTGGGTGAAGAAACAACTTGCTTTATTAGAAAATAGAGACAGTGGTGTGACTTACTTTGAGCGTTTGCATTGTTCCACCTCGGAAAGCAACAGGGGACAGCAAAGTCGGCGGAAGCCCTGCCTGCGGGCCTGCCACAGCCACCAGGCTCTTACAGTTTATCAGGAAGTTCAGCAAGGTGAATGTGTTTGTTCCTTTCACCAGCGCAAGGGATTGGGGTTTGTGATCCATCTGCACGTCATGATTATCCTTACGACTGCATTGACTGAAGTCAAAGGAAAACCATGAGGAATTGAAAAGCATCCATGCACCCAATTTAGAACTGGAGCAGCGCAGCTCCAGAAGACGCTCCTCTGACCAGTCAAGTCAGTTAAAACAAACAAAACCTACCAAGATTCACACTGATCCGGATTTGTTCTTCAAATATTAAACATCTTAAGCCAGGGTTCTGATTTCATTATTAAAACCTCAGGTGCTCCCCATGTGCAAATGGAACCAGAAGACGACGGAGTCCATTGGTCCCTTTGAAACACCTAAAGGTTCTCAGCAAAAGCTGTCCTAGTCTATAACTTTGTCCCTGCTACGCCACACTACTTCCAAATGTAAATTCAGCATACGTGAACAGACACCCTTTTCTTTCACACTGCCTTTTCCTTCAAGAAGAAAAGCATCTAGAAATACTTGTCCTAAACAGACCAAAAAAGGCATGCACAGTCCCTGGCTATGCAGTAATATGAGGACTGGTATTTGGAAATAAGCTTTCAAAAGCTTTTACAAAACTCAAATTATACCACAGAAAGATAACATCTGCATGGTCTTCCACTGTCATACACAGGGATGTGCACAGAAAGGATACAGTTTAATAGAAATAGCATCTGGTTTCTTAACCTTGTCTTGGACTCCCATCTCCTCAAGCCAAGAGAAACTTTCATCATCGTCATCATCGCTTGGAGCTGGCTCTCTGGGAAACACAGAATCAGTGTTAGGTGGGCAACACTT